GTGTGGGTATTTCTCATTGTTGAAGGCCGTACGGTTGCCGATATTTGCTTACATCTACCTTATTTGAACATTGGTGGATATTTATCTCATTGGCAATCATATTATATACCACATCTCCTTATTTTTATATTTAACAATATAATACTCCAAATCCAACTGTTACCGTTCTAATACAGAAAGAACGGGCCTTCTCGAAGAAAATTTTACAATAAAAGTTATATGAAACACAAACAAATACCTCTGACTGGTAAATAATTAAATCCAAAAGAACCTTCCTTTACTTTTTAATGATACAAACCGTTTCAGCAAACGAAAAAGGGTTCGATCAACAACAAAAAGGGTTAGATTAACAACAAAAATTGAGAATGTCCAACCGAAGGAACTAAAAAGGGTTCGATCAACAACAAAATTGAGAATGTTCAACCGACGGAGCTAAAAAGGATTCGATCAACTACAAAAATTGCGAATGTTCAACCGACGGCGCTAAAAAGGGTTCGATGAACAACAAAAATTGAGAATGTCCAACCAACTGAGATAAAAAGGGTTCGATCAACAACAAAAATTGAGAATGTTCAACCGACGGAGCTAAAAAGGGTTCGATCAACAACAAAAAAGGATTCGATCAACAACAAAAATTGAGAATGTCCAACCGACGGAGCTTAAAAGGGTTCGATCAACAACAAAAAATGAGAATGTTCAACCGACGGCGCTAAAAAGGGTTCGATCAACAACAAAAATTGAGAATGTCCAACCGACGGAGATAAAAAGGGTTCGATCAACAACAAAAATTGAGAATGTTCAACCGACGGAGCTAAAAAGGGTTCGATCAACAACAAAATTGAGAATGTTCAACCGACGGAGCTAAAAAGGGTTCGATCAACAACAAAAATTAAGAATGTTCAACCGACGGAGCTAAAAAGGGTTCGATCAACAACAAAAATTGAGAATGTTCAACCGACGGAGCTAAAACGGGTTCGATCAACAACAAAAATTGAGAATATCCAACCGACGGAGCTATAATTTTGTGTTTTGGGAAATTTTGTCCACAAATTACAATATTCTGATTTCTTAAACCTGTTTTGAACTAGCATACCCTAAATTTCCAGTCAAAATGTCTCGCCCTTCATCTGGTTGGTCTACTTTGCAGATGCTACCTCTCGCCGGAATATGTTTGAAATATTTGTGACTTGACGTAAGGCAGACAACAATAAATAAACCAATCAATAAAGTTTTCTCCAATATACCCATTATTTTAAGAATCCAAACGGGAAAAGTTTTTAAAATAAACTGATGAGAAAAAAATTTTAAATATCAAACGTATCAAAAGCTCATTAAAATCTTCATGACAACAATTCAAAACTGGATATATATTTATATTTCTATATTTGCAACTAAAAGTTCTTATTCAAAGTTTGAATATAAAATAATGATATGTGGTATGATTGACAACTATCCAACAGTGTCCAAATGAAGCGGATTTAAGAAACCAAAGGTCACCGTACGGCCTCAAACAATGGGCAAATCCCATACCGTATAGTCAACAGGTCCCGACATGACAAAATATGAAACTGGAATTTTAATGTCAAAAAGTCTGATTATATAATACTTCAAGATTGATCAACAATGTAGGTACATCTATAAAACCACAAGCGATGCACATTGATGGAAGTTTGGAGATAATTTTGATACAATATTACGATTTTTAATAAAATCAACATATGTTACCAAAATGAATTAATTCGTATGTGAAAGTCAATGCACAATGGCTAAACTTCGATACAATTTGGTTTGAGCTTTTATCTATTATATCCCCCCTTTATAAATACTCAAAATTGCCAAAAAAATTTAAAACTGCTGATATGAAACACTTGCAATTACATGTAAATAATTAAACCATTATGTTGCTAGAAGCTTTTAAAAGCCTACACAAAAGAATCTGTGTTAGTGTGAATTTTAGTAAATTGAAAGATTCCTATATGTAAACTATATAAATTCATTTGATTTTGTCTAATTTTTCGACCAAAGAGAGACAAATCTAAACTTCTCCGTTTCATTTATTCAGTCTCATACAAAAACCTAATAAAAAAAACCCAAAAATTAAATCACGATTGCTTTTAAATGAGCTATACTTGTTCCATCATTTAAAGGGGCATTAGCTATGAAGTTGAAAAAAAAAATCATAAATCATATTTTTATTTTTTTGGTCAACTTTCGAAAATAATTTAGAAATAAATAAAATAGTAAGTAATATGCCCATTTCTAGGATTAAAAACAAAATTCAGGTACTCTCAGAGCGTTTTGTGGTGGTGGTATGACGTTAATACTACACGGAAGTCCTTAAGAATGAAATTATACATTCAACTACGCTCCATAGAGACTCATATAGTAAGTAATCATGTCACTACCACAATTCAACTTAAGGCCTCATTTGAACATTTGAAGGTCCCTACTACCTAAACTACACAAAAAACCCGTAAAATATCGTATCATCTCGGCCTCTAGTAAGTGTTCTATACTACTAATCTTTCAGTGCTTTTAACGAGTTCCTAAACTTCTATTAAAGAACTTATATTTTTTTTTGTAATAAAACATACGGAAATAGTGGAATTAACCATTTTGGAGTGTAAAAATTCTTTGGATGTTTTAGACAAATTACGTGCTTTGTTTGATGGCCCTTTTGATTCGGTTGACAGTTTTTACTTTTCCACTCTTTAAACTACACTTCCACACAATCTTATCAAACAAAAGTTTTGCTATTTAATTAAATGGTCGTTTGATAAATCTTATTGCAAATTTATTTGCTGCAACTCATATAAACCCTTTTTCTCAAATGAGAAATGTAAATATGCTAGATATACTTACTGGAGTTGTGATGAGATGAGTAAAGCCGTAAATGTTCTCCTTGACAATATTTATGTACGTTTCGGCAATAAAGTTTATCGACAAGTATTCCTATGGGCACAAATTGTGTCCCTTTAATATCAGACTTGTTCCTGTACTGTTATGCATCACAGTTTATGGCCAAACTCAGTAAAGACCGGTCTAAATCCCATTGAAAAGATAAATTTAACAACACTTACCATTATCTTGATGATATCTTTTTGTTAAATAATCAAGAATTCTCTATATGTACTGCCGAAATTTACCCAAAAGAACTTACTTTAAATAAATCAAATATTAACAGCATAACCGTCCTTTTCTAGATTTAGATATTTCAGTCTTATACCAGAAACTCTACGCAAAAATTTACGACAAAAGGGATGATCTTCTTTCCCTTTTATTAATTTTCCTTTTCTGGACGGTGACGTTCCTTTGGCACCGTCTTGCGGTGTTTATATATCGCAACTCCTTCGCTATGCTCGTGTCTGTAGTGACGTTTTGGATTTTAATGAGCTTAATTTATGTATTACTGGTATATTATTAAGTCAGGGATTTCGTTATCAAAAATGACTTAAAACCTTAAGTTTACTAAATGCTTCCATAGATACAAAGATTTGGTTTGGAGGTTTTGTAATAAATAAACACTACAGTATACATTTCAAAGACATGTTACTATATGCAGTTACATTTACAAATAAGAGCAGTAGCCAAAACATACTCCATTTAAAGTATAATAATACAGAAATGTTTTTATCATTAACCCAGGAGATGTTGGTATTTATGTCAATTAGACAGCAATCCAACAAACATAATGATAAAGCATTCAGCAACAGAAAAGGTACTTTTCCATAGGTCAAGTTTTAAAATGTTCTGAGGAGAAAAGTGGGCTTTTGGATTTTTAAATTTTTACGTCATATGCTATAAATCTTGAGATAAAAATATTATATTTTCTATTTCAGATCTAATACCATGTGCTGTTTGACAAGACACTATAAAGAATTGCAAAAACATTTTGCTGCTATATGAATTTTCGATTATTTGTAAGTATGCTGTTAGAAATATTTTTGTCAATACATGTATCAAATATTTACTATATTAAAAGCAAGTGCAAAAACATAAAACAATTAAAAGTATCCAAATTTGAATTATTCTGTTAAATGTGTGGTTTTATGTCATTGATTGATTGGTGTTGAACCCCACTTTCAGCATTATTGTGTTATTTTGTGGCGGTCAGTTTTTATTGGTGGACTAAGCAGAAGTGTTTGGAGAGAACCATGACCTTCGATTGGAAAACTGTCAATCCTAGTCCATTAGGATTGTAGTCGAGCGCACCTGCCATATGAGGTATTCGAAATTCACAACCTCAGTGTTGACAGGCTAGAAAAAACAGTAGTTCGACTACTTAGACCACTCGGCCACTGTCAATGAAACAGTAACACACCTCCTGTGGACATGTACATGAGAACACACACTTATGCACACAAAAACACATACATATCTTTGACTATCAATACAGTTGATACACATGAATTATTTTAATTGAATATTGTTACCTTTTTTTTCATGTAGCATGGAGAATTTTCCTTGCCCAGCAGTACTAGCTAGGCTTTACTGATACGACAGATACGCTGATGTCGAACTTGGAGATCTTGATTAGATTGGAACATGTATCAGGTAATTGGTTATTAATACATTTCATGAAATAAATATGTTATAAAGAACACATTGAAATTGGGCATATGTTAGTGAGACAGCAACCAAACAACACAGTCATATAATCAAATTAGAAAACCAAAAAAATAGTAATATTTAAATAAATAACTTCAAACTGGCCTAAACATTTACTCAGTAGATTTATTTAGTTATGTTGAGTTATGCTGAAACTTGATTTACTAGTGCAATATTTTACTAGTTCAATTGACTGGAAAAAACTCATCAAAAATACCAGCGCCTCTTTTTACAAAAAGTAAAAATACTCGTATGTCATACACATTTCAGTATAACTTACGATCAATTTCTTAAGTCAATTTCGTCTACCTCACAAAATCTTGTTAGGCACTTTTTATAATTTCAAATAATTTATATTAATAGAAGTTCATGGAATCATAAAAATAAACAGGGAAGTAAATTACAAACTAACACCTAACAATGACGCAAGTGCAGGTAAGCAAAGGGCATTATTCTCCTCAAAATATTTTGCTTTTTGACCAATTATTATTCATATTGCGAATACAGTTCATTGATTGTTGCTTGATTAACGACCAGTGACACTTATGTCATGTATATTCAGACCGAGAACAAATTATTAATCAATACAATAAGGAAGGCTCTGCAAGGGATGAAAAGTAAAAACCGGGTGGAAACTTTGACTGCCACTAGTAAATAAGGGTTCATTGGATAGGGAAAGACATTTTGCCTTGCAACGAAATACCTACGGATCGCTCAGAGAGTTGTTGCAAGGGTTCTTCGACATGAAGAGAGCGTGGCCCTCACTCTACAAGAGGTATCATATTTATCGTCCCCACTTCGACCGAACGTGGCTATGTATTTATACATCTCGCACAGCCAAACGAACACCACTCTTTAGTAAGTGGCCAAATGAGACAACTGTACATCGAGACCAATGAACAAGAATGTAAACAACTATAAGTCATTGCCAGCCCTTCAACAAGGAGAAAAAAACATACTGTTAAGTAAGCTATTATATCCCCAAAATGACAACAATTCAAAACAGAAAACCAACGATCTGCGTTATATTTATATTTGATTCTCAAGCAGCAAATGCATAAAAAAGATGCTGAGAAACTATTAAAAACAAATTACAATTGAATATGCATAATAAATTAGTATGATAAACGAGCAATGGTAAATAGAAAACAAATATGCAGAGTAGAAAGAGTATATGAAATGAAAGCCAGGAGAACAAACAATTAGGAAAGGGACAAGACTCAACAGATCGTTACTAAAACAAATAACGAACAAAAAGACAAAAGTCACAAAGTAATTGTAGTTATTGAATGCGATTTCATGGTCGATGCCTATTGGAAATAAAAGAATTAAGATGAGATTGTTTAGAGGAGAGGAGAAAATACTAGGAGTCGTAAGAGTTAATGTTACTGTGTCAACGTCCTATATCAACTGATAGATAAACTATCTATGTCTTCCCAGACTTTAATTTTAACCAGTACACCTCCAATGGGGATATCGATACTAATACAAACTTTGCAATATTTTACAGAAATGAGATTTTTGGGCTACAATTGTAAGAGGAATTGGCATGTAGATTATCATGGAGAAGAAAAGTAATGCGTTGGTCGTAGTTGCTATCGACTTTGGCACAACTTATTCCGGATATGCATATTCGTTCCGGGCCGAATATGAGAAAGACCACACTAAAGTGTATAGTAACACTGATTGGAGATCTGGAGACGGGCTCGTCACACCCAAAACACCAACAGTCATCCTTTTCACTGAAGATAAAAAGTTTTGTAAATTCGGATACGAAGCTGAGCTGAAGTACAATACTTTACTAGAAGACGAAGAGGCAGAAGGATGGAGATATTTCAGAAGGTTTAAGATGAGATTGTTTAGAGGAGAGGAGAAAATACTAGGACGTGTAAGAGTTAATAAATAATTAAAGAAAAAAGATTGAGAAATGTTGCTCTCATATATTTCAGTGAATATTTTTAAGTCTTTCTTTTATCAAGCTAAACTCCTTTACAAGTTTATAAAACTCTTTGATTGTCGTTCTAACTTGATAAAGTTTTGTTTTTATCAAGTTTAACGTCTTTTATGCAAATTAAAATGCTGAATGATGTTTAGATATGAAAAATAGGGTTTCTTAATATAAAAGCACTAATATATATATATTTGTATCCTTTCGTTTCATTATGTAAATTAAAACTCAGAATATTGAGCATAACTTGAAATTCAATGGAGAAATCAGTGATGTCTATTATTTAAACAAAAAAATAGTTTTTAAATATCAACTGTGCCTGTTTGGCTACATTTTATAAATTAGCATCGCGTATATTATGATCATTTGTCACCACCACAGACAAGAGCCGACAGAATAACAAAGAACTTGATGATAGAGGACGAACAAGGAAAACCGATGTCAGCTCTGAGTGTATTTGCTGAATCTATCCAGTATCTAAATAACCACTTCCTGGGGAATGCGCAGGTGCAAGGTTTAGATTTGGATCCAAATAAAGATATCCATTGGGTGTTAACAGTCCCAGCAATATGGACAGATAGGGCTAAACAGTTCATGAGAGAAGCTGCAAAAAAGGTCAGTTTCTTTATTTTCTTTTTGATGTCAATTCAACGTGTCGAACTGGGCTTTTGTATGTATTAAGTTATAATATGTAATTAAATCATTTTATAAAGGAGAATATTTTACTAGTTTGGAAAACATTTGTCTATAATTACGTGTGCAGTAGGAAATGTCTACTGTCTGCGCGACAACCTTGTTTCGTTTCAGATACATACATGTTATGAGCGATGATAAATCAGATTGTTCAAAACATACCGTTTGGGATTTGACGACTATTCTCGTATTTTAAGATCTAATACCGCGAAAACACATAGCTTGTGAGTTGAGACAGACAAATCGTATCGGTCAACCAATTCATAATTAATGGTGACAGTAAAATTATGTTGTGTTGATTTCAGTCTTTCTTCCACCTAAACCCGATAGACCAGTTTTTGTGCCGGGGTACACATATGTAAATGAAGTACGTATAATTTGAAAATGCACGCACGAATGAATCAAAAGAGATATGTAATTTAAACACCATATTATGATGGGACACGGAATTGTTACTGATAGCAAATTGGGAGTAGACAATCGGAAAAAGCTGAAATTGTCATGTGTTTATGTTTTTTTTTTCATATTGTCCCTTTGTGTCAATATCAAGAACTATATCCATACACGAAGTAGTTTCGGTAGTACCTTCAAATTCAAGTTCTCTCAAGTTGAGATACAAGCACTCACTGAAACTGAAATGTGGGTTATTGAGTTGTAAAACTAACGGTTTATAGAATTTTGAATTGAGTGACAGGACACCATTAATATATCTGAAAGTGAAATTAAATTAAATGATAGATGCCTTTTCTGTTTTTCTTTGAGTAATTTTGGTATGACTTTTGCTTCTAATGAGTACAAAAACAACTTAGCCAATAGAAAAACACAAAAAGGCTAGTCAGTGGTTGTCGTTTGTTGCTGTGTTACATATTTGTTTTTCGTTCATTATTCTGTGCATAAATCAGGCCGTTAGTTTTCTCTTTTGAATAGTTTTACATTTGTCATTTCGGGGCCTTTTATAGCTATGCGGTATGGGTTTTGCCGCCATTGTTGAAGGCCGTACGGTGACCTAAAGTTGTTAATTTCTGTGTCATTTTGTCTCTTGTGGAGAGGTGTCCCATTGGCAATCATACCACATCTTCTTTTTTATAGTACGCATACGAATACGACTTTTTGTTGAAATATCAATTCATATGAATTATGTTGACGATAAAAAAAAGTCCAGTATGTTGATGAAATCGCCTTCGGTTTATTTGTTGTTTGAATCAATGTGGTTCTTCAAAGAGTAAAACAAATCTTTATTTAAAACAAGAATGTTTTCCTACAATCACTATTTTTAAAAAACTTGGCTTTTAGACATCTTGAGATGTGAACATTTGTGGTATAAAGTTGCAACTCAAAGTCATTATTCAATTGATATGTCTTTATATGCAGCTGATATGTATATTATTCATTATACTCTTGATAGTTGTTTAAATGCCCTCAACAAAATATGAGCCACCAGGTAACATAGTGTTGTCGGGAATATGTGTTTCATTTTAGGCAAAATAACAAATTTAAACTTTTCCGATTCCCGACAACACTATGATATGTGGTTCGATTAACTATTTTCGGTACCGTACTCTCCTCTTCTTTATCTTTGTCAGTTGGATAACGAAAAGTGCAAAGAAAACATACTAAAAATAATTAACTGCCATGGTATTGATATCAAATTTCGACATTAACAAAGGCACAATTAAACGGTACGTAATATTATCCTAACAAATGGTGCTTACATGAGACATAATACTATTCCTACCTCTTACAGTTGACAAGATCGCTAATATAAAAATCATACTATGTACTATAGAAGATTTTTAAACAGCAACAGTGCAGAAAAACGCAATCTTAAAAAATCATATTTTTTTTTATATATATCTCGTAGCTAATGCCCCTTTAAACACTCTTTGGTCAAGATATAGAACTGTAATTCAACTTGAAACTTTAAAAAATCTTACATTTAAAGCACAAATGGTGGACATAGCTCTTTATAGCAAGTACAAACTCGATACCTAAAAGCACATAATTTTGTTGCAATAAACACCAAACTGCAATATTCATTGGACAATATAAGGCTATAAAACCTTCAAAAAAACAAACAAGGAAAAATGATGATATAGACAAGACGGTGTACATTTTGTTTACTTTGCAGGCTGGTATTCCAGATGAAATGTTGACCCTTGCTTATGAACCAGAGGCTGCTGCTATATACTGTAAAGAACTTACTGTACAGAAAAAGGAAGGTGCAGAATCAAGTTCATTATCATCATTCGAACCAGGACAACAATTCCTTGTACTAGATTGTGGAGGTATCAAAATATTTCATATAATCACACAAAGTAAACTAATTCTTTTTAAGTTTTTAAAGTTTTAAATTCACTAAATAAAAGCAAGGACATTCGATACTTCATATTTTAACCTTTTGAAAAAGAAACAACGCAAATGTATGGGAATAACAAAATCGGAGTACGTAAAGCAAGATGCTTATGATATTTATTCTGTCATCTTTATATACATAAATTATTACTGTCAAAACATTTTACATTTTTATTCTTATTTTGTTTAATGAATTTTGTCAGGTGGAACAGTAGATGTGACAGCCTACCAAGTTCAAAATGATGGCGATCTTAGGGAACTTCAGCGACCCACTGGCGGACCATGGGGTGGCACATACGTTGATAATCAATACACGACCTTCCTTAGGGAGCTTTTTGGAGATGATATATGGACCGAATATTCAAAAGAGAATCCTGAAGATGTTTTAGAAATTCTGCGAAAGTTTGAAGCAAAAAAGAAAAGTGTTCATGCCTCAGCTGATGATCAAACAACAATATCATTTCCAAATTCTCTTTTCGCGAAATATCAGATTGCTAAGAATAGTATATCTTTTGAAGAGACCCTTAAAAAATCAAGATTTGCAGGAACTGTAAAAGTGAAAAAGGACAAACTAAGGTTTGATCACCAGCTTGTTAAAACATTTTTCCGTAAGCCAATAGATTCCATAGTAACTCATGTTAAAGAATTAATTCATGAAAGTAAACAGAATGGAAGAGATATAAAGATTATTTTAATGGTTGGTGGCTTTTCAGATTCCTCTATATTAAGCCAACGAATTATATCCGAATTCAAACGGTTAACAGTGATATGCCCAAAAGAAGCTGTCAATGCAATCGTTAAAGGAGCAGTTATTTTTGGCCATAATCCAAATTTGATTTCCGAGCGCATTTCTCCTCTTACATATGGCATAAGTGTGAACACAGCATTTAACTATAAAATTCATCCAGAGAAACTGAAGGTTGTATACGATGGAAAGGAGATGTGCACTGACATTTTCCAGCCTATTGTACAAATTGGACATCCAATTAGGGTCGGAAAGGAAATTTTCAAGCATACCTGTTTGCCTACCCGTGCACTCGATACTGAAGCCACAATTGAAATTTATGAAAGTAGCAGTGAGTGTCCGGTATATACTATTGATAAAGGAGTTCGCCGACTTGGTGACTTAACTGTGTCCATTCCGGATACATCAAAAGGCAAAAACCGTCCTATCAAAGTTGAGGTTTCATTCGGGTATACTGAAATAATAGTATGTGCATTTGAAGAAGGAACTGAAACTCAGGCTAGAGCAATATTTGATTGTTTGCTCAATTGACACATCTTTTGCAGAATGTGCATGAAATGTTTGCTGTTGGATGTTCAGCGTACAACAATTAATCAAACAATTGAATCGACGGACATCACCATTGTAAACTGTGGTTGTTTAATGTGATGAATAAATTTAGGGTTTTATAATGAGTAGGGTTTGTTTCATGGAATACATTCAATAGAAGGGAAAGAAGGTATTAATTCATGGCAAAATATCATACACTCACTTGACAAGCACAAATGCAAAGTAATTTCACTTTTACTGATGTTCCTCATATTAAAGTCACAGTTAAGCGTTTAAGATGGTTTCCGCTAGATGTCGACAACGCTGCATCTGCATTGAAAATCCAATGTTAGGTAATAGCATCAAATTATAACCCCTAGGCTAAGAAATCTTTCTTGATTTAACTTCATCAAGATTGCTTAAAACGAAAAATTTAAAAGCAAAGGATATATAAATACTCGAATATGTAAGGAGCTATATGACCAGAATAGCCAAATCTTCCGAAGGTCAATTTTGCCTGCTTAGGAAGTTGGAACCTTTGTATTTTTATAATTTCTATAGATGGAAAATAAAAGGAAAGATTTGTTATAAATCGTGACAGCTATCTCGTGTGACTACTGAGCTAATGATCCCCGGCGACTAGCAGTCCACCAGCAGCGGTATCAACTCAGTTAAAGAAAATAACACTTTACAAATTTTGTCCATTTAAAACGCTTTCCTGGATTAACCTTCACCAGGTACTGTTCACCAGGTACAAACCGAACCAAACAAGTTGAAATCCAAAGATTTATCCATAGTATACTTCAGTACACGAGGAGATATATGACAAAAACGGACTTGCATGGTTTTCTCTAACTGTTAATGACGTCTTTATACTAAATCCATCGGATGCTGGATGTGTACTAATTGATATTTTAGTCTAAGATACAGGAGTTTTTTAGTAGTTCTCATTGGCTTTGAACACACTTTCAGTAACTGCGAGTACTCACAGATCTGTACTTTGTGTCTTTTGTGTGTTTCTTTTGGTTGTTTTTGTGCTTTGTATCGATCTGGTGATTTGATCCCTTTTCAACAGATTTTTATAGTTTGTTCTTATGTTGTGCCGTTGCACCGCTGTCCCATGTTGGGGAAGGTTGGACGCCCGCAGACATGTTTAACCCCACCCCGCCGCATTATTTGTGTGCCTGTCCCGGCCGGGTCGGTAGTCTGTAATTCAGTGGTTGTCGTTTGTTGCTGTATATCATATTTGTTTCTCGATTATTGTCTTATACACAAATAAGGCAGTTAGTTTTCTCGTTTGAAATGTTTTACATTTGTCCTTTCGGGGCCTTTTATAGCTTACCATACGGTATTGGTTTTTCTTATTGCTGAAGGCCGTACGGTGACATATAGTTGTTAACTTCGATGTCATTTGGTTTCTGGTGGAGAGTTGCCTCATTGGCAATCATACCACATCTTCTTATTTTTATATGCCACAAGTGGACAAAATGTGTGACCATACACCTAAAGCAATGGAAAGCATTCTATGGCAACCGCATTGGCAAACAAGATAGACTAACTTTGTCAATGGAATGGATTTTTTAAAATATTTTTAATTTTTTATGATCCATAATAATTGAAACAGACCAGGTTTGAACAAAAATGTTAACATGTACAATAACTGGAAAATGCTTGAACAATTTTTTTTGTAAAAAAAATCAAACCTTTGTCATCATTTTTGGTAACATTTCAGTATATCAGCTGATATATATATATATATATACAGTAAGAGACATTTAATACAATGTAATGTCTCTGATACAGTTGACAATATTTACTTTTTTTTAAAACTTGTTGCCACATGCATGAATATTCATGGTTTTCTCATAACATATGATGCCAAATAACCTTCAATCAATCATTTTCCGTGTTAAAGCAAATTGTATCAGTGTTCCTGCTTGACACTATCTACAAAATTTTATTTGATTTTAATGTTGACAAGGGCGGATCCAGCCATTTTTAGAAGGGGGTGGGGTGGTTCCAACTATATGTCCCCATTCAAATGTATTGATCGTCAAAAAAAGGGGGGTTCCAACCCCAGGAACCCCCCCCTGGATCCGCCACTGATGTTGATAATTTCTGTTAATCAAAACACTTGTAAGTTCTGAGGGATAAAGATTGCTTTCATTTCGCATGGTGGACTGCATCTGGAGCTATATTCCTTTGTCCATATAATTGTAGGTAGTACATAGAGCCATACTACGTTCTATTATTTTTATTAAAATAGTTTTCTTGGTCAAGTAGGGTTATACACATTCTCATGATTTTGTAACTTAAATGACTAAGTATATATCATTGATAAATTGCATTGCATGGGTATGGATAGAATCTAAAGAATGGCCACCTCACTATGTTAGGTAAGGTAGAGACGAGGCCTGGAATATAGCTAAATATACTGTGACCTATAATGGTTTACTTTTATAAATTTTGACTTGGATGGAGAGTTGTCTCATTGGCACTCATACCACATCTTCTTATATCTATGTACACGGATTTATAAAAGTTTTTCCAAACTTGTTTCCGAATCCAATATTTGAATTTCATGTAACATTGTAATACTTCATTGTTATAATTTTTCATTCATAAATACTGTTTAAACTAAATATACATGTTGCTGAAAAGTCGCTGGGAGTAGGGCTTTGATTGCAGTTACAAACTTTAACACAAAAATAACATAAATTAAATGTTTTGAGATATTTAATTAATATAAATTTCATAACATCACAAAATTTATAAAACTTATAAAATATATACAACTCAAGCTAATATGTAGCAAACTAGCATAAAAAATAGTTCCAATGCCCTTGATGAGCACCATTGCAGGATTTATTTCTTAACTGGTATTTACTTGACCACGTATTTACTTGGCCACTTTGAAATACAAAGGATATTGCATATAAATAAGGATTATGTTTACACTTTCATAGTAGCTGATATAACTAAGAGATATTTCATTTTAAGTGTATGATGTTTGTATACAACTTTTCTTGCTTAGCTGTTAACCTGTCTCATTACTGTTAATTTGTTCCCGTCATGTATAATAATATGTTTCTCTTGATTTTACATTGTTAATTCCCATTTATTTTGTTTTCACTTTACTAAAAAATAGATAATATGAAACAATACTGAGTTAAGTATAAAGGAGACCAAAATTGTTCACAAACTTGAACTTTTATATTTTTTTTTTTTTTTTTTTTGCAATTTGATATTCAAGAAATTGGTATTTTTTTATTTTATTCTTTAACTCAACCATATTTGGTTTTGTTTCATTTAATTTACATTTGTATATATAATTCTTTGTAATTAAGACTAACAGATTCAATACTAAACTTTCATGTTTACAACCAAGAAACACTTTCTCTTTTTCAAAAAAAATGTTTTACAATATTTGAAAAAGACTGCCACAATTGAAAAGTTATTGGACATTAAAAAAACAGGTGATCAATGGTTTCTCCGCCCAGTTTACAAAAAGTACATAACTTGGTATCTTTTAATTTAATTTTGTACAAAAAGGTATTAGTTGCTATGATTATATGCAAAAATCTGTATTGAAAGGTTCTAAAATAAACATCTCTACATGACTTTTTGGTTCTGACCATTCTGTTGTATCAATACCCAACAGTTCTTCTCATTTCAAAATTTTGACTGTTGGTAGCTGAATAACTTCATTTACTAAATTTTTATATACAAATTTGGCTTTCACATTACACATAATTCTCTTTATCAAAGAATCCTCAGTGTTAACTCTTTCTTGATTTGATTATGATTTCGGTGCATCCATTCTTTAAAAGAAAAAAAAAAACAGGTGATTTCTGATAGTTTCTTTACATGTAAAATGTAGCCATTTTGAATTTCTGATCAGCACCAAAAAAAAAAGGCACTTATTACGTATCTTCACAGAGAAATATTTTACCCGACAGAAACATGTCAAAGAATACATTAACTTTATATAAAAATAAAAGAAGAATGTGTCTGAGAACACGAACGCCCCTGCTCAAGCTTTGAAAAGAAAAAATGGGACGGACAGAAAGACGGAAGGAAGGATGGAAAGACGGAAGGACGGAAAGACCGAAGGACAGAGGTCAACAACGACTGCGTGGAAATACATTCCCAATAAACAGCACTGACCAATCCAAGCTAGTGCTGTTTATTGGGAATGTATTTCAACGCAATCGTTGTTGTAACATCTTAACTGTCGTCACCTTTGAAATTTTAGAGTTGTATCAGTTCATATCGCACATTACTATTTTTATTTGAAGCATATCTTTGCAGTCTCTGTTGTAAATAGCTACATAACCTACGTCATGTTTAAAAATTTTAGAATTGTACAAGCGTCTCTATGATGTTCAGTTTTTACTGTTTTATTGTATAAATTTCAAGATTGTTATAGTTTTTAATCAGACTAGATTGATATGATTCATTTTACATCGTGATCATCATGACTGATGAAAGATATCTGTTATCCAATATATTTAACATTTGTTCATTTTATTATTATTTTTTGGTGATGTTGTACCCTTTTAGACTTGTTATATATTATATTTTGTATCATAATTATATGATCCATCGCCCCGTAAGATTTATCGTCGGCTATTATTCAGTCATTTTATATATATATATATATATATATATATACATTTAAACATGTGACAACTTTATGACAGATATTCTCTATCAGATAACATGTGGTTATACAGGGCTAACACCATGATATCAATATATATAATTCATCTCAAATTTAGCCCAACAATGTTTGATCTACATATTTGCGTACATAAATACATACCTATAATTTGTCTCAACTTTAGCGCAGGTACAGTATAGACTGTCCCTGTTTAGCCCAACAATTTTATATATTGCAAATTTTCGTTCTTCCCTCAGCGGGATTCAAACCCTTGCCTTTGCAACATCACAACATCGCCTGCACTGTGTCCAGCACCCTAGACCACTCGACCAACTAGGCTATATAAAAATATAGCTTTTGGTAGTTTAGTAATGACTTTCCTTGTCGGCTTTATCTAGGGTTGTAACACAGTACATGATGTATATCTGTAGGACTCTAAAGTGCGATGGGGACGCTAAAGTACGATGGTCACGCTAAAGTGCGATGGTCTGCGCTAAAGTGCGATTCCTCCATACGCTAAAGTCCGATGGTCTGCGAAAGTATAGACGTAAGAAACGTAGTTGGATTATGACGTTAACAGTCGTTTATATAAACCAAAAATAAACATACCGGAAGATAAATTAAGAATATTTGATTAACAACTTTTAAATCAAATGTCCATGACTGAATTAATTTAAACGTAACCGTGCTTTGTCTGCTGAGGCACGGTGCTGGAAGAAGGACTTGTATCCTGCAGTCGAACATTTTACTATATAGATACAAAACAGTATACCTGTATCCTGCTTCTATTTGAGGCGAACGGATACATTTAAATCATTGTTTATGTAACTTGCAGTTTACTTTGCGGTCCCCGTTAAAATATTGTCGATTTTATTGAAAAGTAACGTCGGTAAAATTAAAGGTACATGTTTTCATGCGTAAATTATAAGTTGTCGGCTAAAACATTAGTTTGTACATTGCAGGAAAATATAACATGTGTTTGTACTGGCTACGAAAAAGGAGAAAGCTCGGAGAACATCGCCTTTCTCTCTCATTTAAAATCAAAATCAATGTTACATATTCCGACAATGAACGAATTTTGTATTTGTAATTTACAATGACGTCTGTAAGGGGAGGTGTTCACATTAGTGATAGACTTTGTGAACGGCAAGCTACACAAATTATCCAAATATTTGAAATGCCCGAATTGTTAAAAATTCATTTATAGGAAATATAGTATTTTGTGACATCTAAATTACCTTTTAAGCAATAAATAAGTGGTCTTCTAAATTTAGAAACAATCACTTGAGGCTACCGGTAAAGTATAAAGCCTATCACATGTTATACCTTACCATACTAGCTTATGCAAAAAGACTATTTTTTAACGTCCATGTACCTCAACGTTTTAAGCCCTCTAACCTTACCCTTTAGTCCATCGCACTTTAGCGTGATATACCATCGTACTTTAGCAAACAAACAACCATCGCACTTTAGCGTGAGACACCATCGTACTTTAGCGTAGACCATCACACTTTAGCGTGACCATCGCACTTTAGAGTACCATCGCACTTTAGAGTCCTACATATCTATATATATATACACGTCTAAACATGTGAAAACTTTACGACAGACATTATCCATCGAATAACACGTGGTTATACAGGCTAACACCATAATATATATATAATTCGTCTCAAATTTAGCCCAATAATGTTAGATCTTCAAATTTGCATTAGGAAATGTTTTTTCTTCCCTCAGCGGGATTCAACCCTTGCTTCTGTGACATCGTCGCAACACCGCCTGCACCGTGTCCAGCACCCTAGACAACTCGACACCTAGGTTACATAAAAATACAGCTTACAGTGGTCCATGTAATGCCTTTCCTCGTCAGCTTTATCTAGGGTTGTAACACGATGGTGTACCTTTCAGACCAGCTACTTTGTTTGTCGTAAAGGATGATAATATTAATTACCATGCTGCCACATCAAATTATATATTTTATTATACACGTCTAAACATGTGACAACTTTATGACAGACATTCTCCATCGGATAACATGGGGTTATACAGGGCTAACACCATAATTTAATATAATTTGTCTCAAATTTAGCCCAACAATGTTAGATCTTCAAATTTGCGTTAGCAAATTTTTCTTCCCCCAGGGGGTTTCGAACCCTTGCTTATATATATATATATACAGTATTAATTATACAGTAATTTCAAGATATTTAATATTAAAAATAAATGAATAAATAACTATCCTCCATAAAAGAAGGTGTATAAAAAAATGAACAGAATATTAAACTGTTTTTTCATAAAACATGAACAACATATATCTCTAGTCACTGAAATGAAAACTTCTTCTTATTTCAAAACAAGTGCTAATAAAGCTTGACACTGAGATATAAACATTTTCAGACTCACTAGACATCAACCAAATAAAGGCTGTTTGTACTTTGAAAATATAAGGGAAATTTTTTTTGTACTTGTATGATTAATCAGAAAATTTGTTCAAGAGCCTTACAAGCCTGATGTTTGAGATTTTCAAAAATGTAGGCCTTGAACATTACTGTAGAGACATTGATTGTCGAAATGTGCATCTGGTGCAGTAAAATTGGTACCATTATCACTGATACTTTAATACTAGAGGATATAAAGAGCCTGTGTCGCTCACCTAGGTCTATTTGCATCTTCAACAATGAACAATCTCCGACATTGTGGACTAGAATAGAATTCATGACAAAAATCTCTTTTTAGTTGATCTTGTATTACTGATGATTTTTTCTGTTTACAGTTTCTCTCAATCTTCTTTAGCTTTTGCCCAAAACACAAAAATGGGTAAAAAATCATCATTTAAGGTCAATCACCCCTATAAAGAGTTTACTGACGATTTCTGCAAAATTTGACTTATTTGTAGATCTTGTCTTCAATGCTGATCAGTTTTGCAATTTAAAGTGTCTATTAATCTTGCATTGTTTTCAAGATGTAACCTCCGAAAACGATAAACTGGCTTATGAAAGCACAAATATAAGTTTTATGAATTTATTGTATATTCATATATATATATATATATATATATATATATATATATAAAAATAATCACATTAATTGGCAACGATGAGTAGTTCAATATTTGTGGAAAAATAGAAAAACACAAAACATAATAAGTCTATTGAAATGCAGATCATAAACTCAATGAACTTTAACTTGGAATAAAGATTGCTTATCCAAATATCAATTAAATGCATCAGAAACATTTAGTCATACATAGATATATAAAGAGCTACAAGAACATCATTATCTCCCTTTTCTGAATATTACAATTCTTAAAGTATGAAATAAGAGAAAGTCTTCAAAGTAATCAACATTTGTTCATGGATAATCAATATTGTTTCAATTAGAAATATAAAAAATTAAGTAAACATAATCATAATATCAATCAAGGGTACACAAATAATATAATAATAATATTATAAAAATTATCTTTTCTTTTCTTTCAACTTTATTTAATTTCCAATTTCACTTCATTTACTGAACTCTACACAAAGAGAGATAACTCAAAAATAAATAATGTAATTTTTGACATGTTACACAGATAACAGGCAAAAAAACAAAACAAAAAATGGTAAAAATTGTCATTTAAGAGCAAGAACTCCAATAAGGAGTAGACTGATGATTTCTGCCATGTTGAATTATTTGTATATATACCTTGCTGATCATTTTTGCTATTCAAAGTTTCTATGAATCTATTATAGTTTCAAGATAATAGGCAAAAACACTAAAAATTGGTACAAATCGTCACTAAGGAGCAATAATTCCAATAAGGAGTTGTCTGACTATTTGGAATAATGTTGACTGTCTTGCTGATCATGTTTGCCGATTTAAGTTTTTATTTATCTATTACAGTTTTTAAGATATAAGCCAAAAACGCCAAAAAATGGTAAGTTTGGTTAAATTTGGCCCAGTAGTTTCAGAGGAGAAGATTTTAGTAAAACAGACATCGGACACCAAGTGATGAGGAAAGCTCATTTGGTCCTTGTGGCCATATTAAGTATTTCCAAACAGTAGATTTCAGAGGCATTTTAAACGACAATTTAACACAAACATACGAAACATATTTTAACTATGATCAATCAGTTGTTTCTATCTAATTCTCTGAGGGGCTTACAAAAAATAAACAGGAATTAACATTACTGACGTCTAAAATATACATTCTTGCATTAAAACTATTAGTCGAGTATCATTTTCTTATTCAATACTCAGTACCACTGAGAGATACATGAATACACGAGTACTTGTAGACATTCCTATTAGAAACAGCAGACTCTAACTCAGAGGACTTGCATTCACAAAGTGGCATTGTGTGACAAAAATTATATAAATGGTCACTGTCCAATAACTAAAAATTTTGTCAAATCAAACTGACCGTATTGTAAATATAGCCTATATCATTATCAGATTTGTAATTGAAGTAGAGCAGCTATGGTTGATATTATGCTTGATGCTGGTAGTTTCGAAAACTTTGATGTTTAAACTTATTAAAGTTGTTAATGTTTGTCTTTATTATACCCCACAAAACAAAGTTCCTTAGGGTACGTTTTTGGCCTGTCGGCCTGTCTGTCAGGCTGTCAGTCAGCCAGTCCATCAGTCCTGTTCTTGTTATCCTAACTCCTCTGAAACCACACAATAGAATTTTATGAAACTTTGTAGAATATAAGGACATACTATGTTGATGTGCATATCAACAGGAAATTATAATTTTTTTTTTTCTAGGAGATATGCCCCTTTGAAATTAGAATTTTGGCCCAAATATACTTCTGCAACAGTGTCATCGAGATTCCTCTGAAACCAAACAACAGAATTTCATGAAACTTTGTAGATAATAAGGACATACTACATGTACTATGTAGATATGCATATCGACAGGAAATTATGATTCAATTTATTTCTAGGAGTTATGCCCCTTTGAAATTAGAATTTGACCTAAATATACTACTGCAACAGTTTGTCATCGGAACTCCTCTGAAACCACACAACAGAATTTCATGAAACTTTAAAGATAACAAGGACATTATATTTTGATGTGCATATCCACAAGAAATTTTTATCAGTTGACTTTTGTAGGAGTTATGAGTCTTTGGGATTTTGTTTGCCTAGTAACAATACAGGGCCATGTGGTATGCGAGCGTGCTCACAAAGGATCTTTTAGGTTGTTTCTATTTTAGCTAGCTTGTAGACTAAGATAGTTTATCAGCTGACATAATAGAATAGAACTGCTTCCAAGCATCTGTGATGTGAGAGTCATTCTACAAGCAAAACAGAAGGCTTCAAGGGTTAAACACCCTCCATAACTAGCTCTTTGTGATTATTTTTTTTATCTTAATATTTGTTGTAATTTGGTTCTTGGGTTTGTAAAATAAAGCTTTGGTCATAGTGTCTACTAATTTTATGCTTATTTTATGAAAAATCACAGATCAGTAAAACAGGCTCTTTCAGCAGGAAAGTAGTAAAAGTTGACCTTTAACCCTTCTGCCTTCCTTATTGAACACACCAGATGTGTGGATGAGTTTCTATTCTGTACAAGATGTCATTTAACAGAATTGATTCAGAGCATTAATTTGTACATGCAACTGTCTTTATTATCTAAATTCCTTTGTCATCTCTACCAGTATATTATATATTTCTAAAGCTACTGGTCGACATTTGATATTATCATTCCAACATTTTTTCATCAGAGATTGCAATTTGTTAGGTGGACTATAACTATCTTCAAAATGTGGTCTGGCTCCTTGCATGATGATATTACTTAGCTCAATTAAGTGTTTTGTTATAAACTGCCAGTCTCCAGAATCTTCACTTACAAGATGTGTGTATCCTGGTCTCCCATACCAAATTTCCCATAAAATTATTCCTACACTATAAATGTCTGCCTCAGGTCCATAAAATTCTCCTTTAAGAACCTCAGGTGCCATTGTTGAAGGTAAACCTTGTGTGAATGTATCCAGAATATTGTCATCTTCTCTTGCAATTCCTAAACCTGCTATCTTGGCTTCACCATTTTTCACCTAAATAATTTTAAAAAGAATTAATTATGTGACCATTAATATGTGACATGACAACTTCTACTATAGAATATATTGAACCACTGAATCAAGTTAGTTTTCTAAAATAAGCATACAGAATAATTTAAAAAAAATATGTTTGTGATGAGTTTATATTTGTATTTTGTTAACATAAGTTATAAAGGAGGAGGAAATATTAAACATTTCCTGAAAAATATGTGAAAATCCAGTGATATTTGGAATGATGCATACTCATCTTTATTAAATAACTAATACAGTGAACCTATAAAAAACCATTAGAACAAGAGGCTCCAATGATCCTGTATTGGTCACCTGGGATTTAAGCATAAAACTGATACAATGCAATAAGAACATGTCTGATAGTTTCTGGCAAAAAAGCAAATCAAAAGCTGAAATGGGTAAAAATCATCATTCAAGGGCAATAACTCGTATAAATAGTTGACTGCGATTTCTGCCATCTTGACTTATTAGTAGATCTTGTCCTTCTGTTCATTTTTGCTTTGTACAGTTTCTGTCTATCTACTAGAGTTTCTGCAAAAGAAAACCCACAAATGAGTAGAAATCATCTTTCAAGGGTAATAACTCCTATAAGGAGTCTTGAAGATAATGACCATCCTAACTTATCTTTAAATCTTGTCCTGCTAATAATGTTGGCCTTTTAAAGTTTCTCTCTATCTACTAGTGTTTCCTCAAAAATAAAAATTGGTAAAATAGTCTTTCAACCATGTTGACTTATTTTTATATTTTGTCCTGCAGATCATTTTTTGCTATTACATTTTCTTTTTATCTATTACAAATTTAAAGATACATGTGCCGGTAATAACCAAAATCCCAAAAATTGGTAGAGAAGTTTACTGAAAAATTATTTGTAGAGCTTGACTTGATGATAATTTTTTCTGTTTATAGTTTCTCTCTATCTACTGTAGTCTCCACAAATAAAACCCCACAGAAATGGGTAAAAAATTGTCTTTCAAGTGCAATAACTCCAATTAGAAGTCAACTGACAATTTCAACCATGTGACTTATTTGTAAATTTTGTCCTGATGATCTTTTTTGCTACTTCATTTTTCTTTTTATCTACTTTAGATATAAAGGAAAAAACCAAAATTACAAAAATGTGTAAAATCATCTTTAAGGGGAATAACTTAAATAAGGAGTCATCTGACAGTTTGGACAAATTTTTATAGGCCAGAAGGTAGATCTTGACATCTAGGACCAAGTTTTGTCTGATTTTTCTCTATCTATAACAGTTAACAAGATTCTAGATCTATAACGGTTAACAAGATACAAGATGACACTTACATTTTACCCTATGTTCTATTTTTAGCCTTGGTGGCTATGTTGGTTGGTAGCCAGGATCATCAGATATAATTTTTAACCTAAATACTTTAACAATTGGGTTCCATTTGGCCCAGTAGTTTCGGTGAAAATTTTTGTAAAAGTTAATGGATGATGGATGAAGACAGAGGACAGACGATGGACAACAGAAATGGAAGGCCAAGTGATGGCTAAAGCTCACACTGGCCCCTTGGTTCAGAGGAGCTAAAATTGACACAAGCGCTAGGTGAATTTTACTGACAGGTGAGAGGTTACAAATGTTTTTACCATCATTTTTCATTTAATCTTTTTTTAATGTAGCCTGAAATATAAAATTGGATAGCCTCAAAAATAAGTTTTATTTACTACCCCTCATTTCAAAACATATTCACTTAATTTCTACTGTTCTTTTCAGATGAATATATTCCCACGCAAATCATTCTTTTGTACTCACTATCACATTAAGTTTCAAATAAAGCAATAATATGACTTTCCTTTATGGGTAACATTTCATGAAAAATAAAGATAATTGAGTATTTTTTTCCTAATGTCAAATAGCCATGGCAAATTCATGAAAATAGAAAAAAATAAATGGGGAATGTGTCCATGGGACACAGATGATGCCAGCTTGCATATAACGTTATAAAGGGACATAACTCAAGAACAGTAAAAGTGACGCTACCCAAATTTGTACTTGATCTGAGTTTTGTGGTAATAAGCATTGTGTTTCATAACATTTGGTTGAGGCAAACTTAAGTTAGAGAACAGAAACAAAAAATTCAGCAATTTTTCCATTTGTAAAGGGGCATAACTCTAGAAAGGTAAAAGTGACGCCACCAAAATTCAAACTTGATCTGTGTTATGCCATATAAAGCATTGTGTATAAGTTTCATAACATTTGGTTGAGGCAAACTAAAGTTAGAGAATGAAAACGAAAAAATCTACATTTTTTTTCCATTTGTAAAGGGCATACCTCTAGAACTGTAAAAGTAATCCCACCAAAATTCAAACTTAATCTGTGTTTTGTGGTAATAAACATTGTGTATAAGATTCGTAATATTTAGTTGAGGCGAACTAAAGTTAGAGAACGGAAACCAATATTGGGACGTACGGACGTACAGATGGACAAGGATAAAACTTAATGCCCCCCCTTCGCTATGGCGGGGGCGGGGGCATAATAAAATTAGAAAACTATGAACATAAATTAAAGCTTTTTTATAAATAAAATAAACAATATAAACATGTTTGTGAAAAGTTGTCAATACTTTTCTGTTTTCATGCAACATATATGTTACATGTACTGCATAAATTGTAAGGTGACTTTAACTGGTCACTGATAGCAAATGGTCCCTAGCCAGTAATGATCGATTATAATTGAGAAAGAACATGGCATGGGAGAACGATCACATGCTCTTTTGGATTATTTTTATTTAAGGTAGATCATAGGTATATATTTCTTGAGATAGAATTTTCTTATACTTTGCCAAAATGAAGATTTTACTATGCTTTTTTCAAAAATATAATAAAAAGTATGAGTCACCAAAAAAAAACATTTGTGTGCATAAAAAAAAATCTATGAGATAGCATTTTGAAATAAATTGTGAGAAGATAGGTTTTATAATATGTTTTAAGAAAATAAAAAGAAAAAATGGTGTCACCGAACTTGTTTTCTTGCTACAAGTAAAAATAAAAAATTTCCCTATCAGTCCAGTATATATTTTTTACTAAAAGAGTTATCTTCCCTGAAATGGCTTATTTGAAAAAAAATGATTCTAAAAACACAAAACTTGATATTTGTTTAAATATTTTGAGTTATACAATGAATCACCAATTTTTATTTACATAAATAAACAGTCAAACCAATAAATTGTAAATCTGTCTCCAAATTTGCAGATTTAGGCAAATAACTAGACCGATTTTGTACTGGGATTGTACAATCCAAAATGGCGGTATACCATGAATCTACCTTAAGCTGAACACATTATTATGAATGTATTTATTATCATAAGCCTTACCAAAACAGTAGCCAGTTGGAGATTTCTATGAACAAATCCCATGCTGTGGATATGGACTAGTCCTCTACAAATACCACATGCCATCTTTATATAGAACTCCCATGATTCTTTGCATAATGAAATGTCCTTGAACTTATGACAGGGTGGAGGATCTCTTTTCATTTGAACTATTTCTTCTAAACTATCATCACAGTATTCCATGTAAATCTGTAGAAACTTTTTACTCTGAGTTCCAAATTTATATGTGACACCATATAACATCACTATATTTGGGTGATGAAGTTTTCTGTAAATGAAAGACATAAATCAAAGGATCAAGTCTCATTAGCACACACAATGAACTATTTATTAACAGTTTACTTCTATTAGGATCACCTTTACATATCTGTATACCTATGCTTTCAAGTGCAATTTGGGTATTGATTCAAATCAAACTTATATGTGATTCAATATAACATTTCTACATTTATAAAAAAACTAAAAACTAGAGGCTCTAAAGAGCCTGCGTCACTCACCTAGCTATATATAGGTCTGTGTGCATCTTCAACAATTGACACTCTCCAACATTGCAGACTAGAATATAATTTTTTTTGTTGAACTTGTATAGCTGATCATTTTTAGCTCACCTGGCCCTTTAAGTCAGCTTTTCTCATCACTTGGCGTCCAACGTCCGTAGTCGTCCGTAAACTTTTACAAAAGTCTTCTCCTCTGAAACTATTTGACCAAATTTAACCAAACTTGGCCAATCATCATTGGGGTATCTGGTTTAAAAAATGTGCCCGATGACCCCACCTGCCAACCAAGATGATTGACATGGCTAAAAATAGAACATAGGGGTAAAATGCAAGTTTTGTCTATAATTTGAAAACCATTATAAACAGAGAAAATCTGACAGGAACACAAATGTTCAGAATGTTGAGCTCTACCAATTGTCCATATATGTCAAAACTGTCAGACTACTTCTTATAGTAAATATTGCCCTTAAATGACAAATTTACCATTGTTTTCATTTTTGCCTATTATCTTGAAAACTATAATAGATAGAGAGAAATTTTAATTGCAAAAAATGACCAGCAAGAAAAGATCTACAAATAAGTCTGCATGGTCGAAATCGTCAGTCAACTCCTTATTAGAGTTATTGCCCTTTGATGATTTTTTCAATTTTTTGCCTTTTTGCCTTAGATCTTAAAAATTATAATAGATAGAAAGAAACTGAAATAAGCAAAAATGATCAGCAAGACAAGATCTACAATTAAGACAATTGGAAGAAATCGTCCAACGTCTCCTTATTGGAGTTATTGTCCTTTAATGACGATTTTTACCATTTGTTTTGCGTTTTGCCTTATATAATTAAAATCATAATAGATAAATAGACACTTTACATCACAAAAATGATCAGCAAGGCAAGATCTACAAATAAGTCATTGTTAGAGTAATTGCCCTTTGATGATGATTTTTACCATAGTTTTTGCCTTAGATCTTAAAAATTATAATAGATAGATAGAAACTTAGACAAGCAAAAATGATCAGCAAGACAAGATCTACAATTAAGACAAATGGAAGAAATCGTCCGACATCTCCTTATTAGAGTTATTGTCCATTTTTTTTGCGCTTTGCCCTATATAATTAAAATTATAATAGATAAATAGATACTTTACGTCACAAAAATGATCAGCAAGGCAAGATCTACAAACAAGTCAAATTTTGCTGATACAGTTGTTAGACTGTCACTCTTTATAGGAGTGATTGCCCTTTTTTGTGTTTTGAGCAAAACTAAAGAAGATAGAGAGAAACTAAACAGACTAAATAATCAGCAATACTAGATCAACAAAACAGAGATTTTTTTCATGAATTCTAATCTTGTCTACAATGTTGGAGAGTGTCCTTTGATGAATATGCACATAGACCAAGGTGAGCGACACAGGCTCTTTAGAGCCTCTAGTTTCTGTTTGCAGTTTCTCTCTATGTTCTTTAGTCTTTGCCCCAAAACACAGAAAAGGGTAAAAAAAAAATCATCATTTAAGGGCAAAAAACACCTATAAGAAGACAACTGATATTATCATCTATGCTGACTTATTTGCAGATATTGTCTGACTGATCATTTTTACTTTTTAAAGTTTCTATCTATCTTTTATATTATTTCACATTTCCGCTTTTATAAATGTTTGAAAGAAAAAAAAAAATCATATTTTGATTTTTTACCAACTTCGTAGCTAATGCCCCAATAAGATCATTTTGGTCAAGTAATTGTAGAGAAGAAATTGCAGACCATTAGTCACCCAATGATGGAAATAGCTCTTCCACACTCACACAGGTAATATTCATGCAACACTAACTGCAGTTCCTGGCCTATCTGATATGTCAAAAAGACTTAGGTACAGGTTGATTATAATTAAAATGTCTTAAATATCATATACTTGAAGTGAGTATAAAATGAGTCAAATTTTAAGTATTACCTCAAGTTCTGAACTTCAGTGAGTTGAATATAAGACTCTGCCTTCTCTAAAGGTTTCCTTGATGTTTTCACAGCAGCTCTAACCCACTGACCCTTAATTAAAACTTCAGCTGCATGCATATGTGAAAACTGGCCGTCACCGATTTCCTCTGTACTGTCTCTGATACTTTTCTTTGATAGTTTATACCCTGAGAAATAATCCATTGTAACCAAAAGAAGTTTACCCATGATGCTCTTGCAGGATAACTCTAGTGGCTGGTATTGTTTCCTGATTTCAAGGGAACTTCTTATATCATTCTTTATATGGCTTACAAACTGCTCATCTGCTTTTATTTGTAATGGAAAAACATTCTCACAGACAAAGCTTACTTTGATATTAAAATCTTTAAGGTATGTCTCTTCCATTAGCCTGAATATAGCCTGTTTGTTAAAAGTTCTCAAAACATTTGTAGACCAGTCCATCATGTATTTTAATTTATTGGACTTATAATCATTTATTTTCTTTGTCTGTTCAATTGTATTTTTTATGGTCATTATAGGAATGGCAATTAAGCCTACAGCAAGTGCCAGTGGAAACCAAAGAGGAGCTGTAATAGCCAAGATGATTTTATTTTGAGTTGTGAACAATGTGCCATCATTCATTCTTTCAATACCCTCATCTTTGTCTGAAACTCCTTCTTCCAGTGGTGTATTGATATCAAGAAGTATCCTGTTAATCTCCTCACATTGTTCATCAATAAGTTTACACTCTGCTTTAAATAAATGACACAATTCTTGTGTTATATTGTTGACATTCTCTTTTGTACACCATTCTCTAGTCTCAGAGTTTATTCTATCTAATATCATTTTCTTTGCTTTGTATTCTATTATTTGAAAATCTGAATCTGTTGGTAAATCTGGTATAGACCAAAGAAAAATTCTAGCTGAGGTTTTCTTTGATGTCAGGTGTGCATATAACTCAGTGGAAATCTGCTGGCAATGAAATTCAGCCTCTTCAAGAACTCTGTGTTTTACCTACAAGAAAATAAATACTGAAAGGAGCTAAAATGGCAAGAAATAATAGTTGCATACTGTGGATTCATTAATATTCGTTGGATACCAATTTTCGTGGATTTCGTGGGTACAGGGGAACCATGAATTTAAATGTTTAACGAATAAAAAATTTTCTAAAGGAATATATGCAGACTTTGCCGAAACCACGAAATTAAATATCCACGAAAATTGGTACCCACGAAAATAAATGAATCCACAGTATGTTGTGTTTATTTTTTCAAAAAAGGATGATTTAGGTAACTTTTACCTTTTTTTTTAAATTTCAAACAAAATCAGTCCTACCTCTTTTATGTTATGTCTTAATTGTTGTATTCTTTCTTCGATGTTGATTTTCAATTTTTTCTTTTCATCTTCTGTTTTTCTCGATAGCTTTATCCTTCCCACAATTCTTTTCAATGCCTTCTCTAAAAACTGATTCTGCCACCTATGAAAATAAAGAACAAGAGGCTCTCAAGAGCCTGAATCGCTATCCTGTATTTCAGAGGAGAAGATTTTTAAATGTTAGCAAACTTGATGAACAAATTGTGTAAAATTGTCTTTAAAGGGCATTAACTCCTTAAGGGGTCAATTGACAATTATTGTCATATTAACTTTTTTGTAGATCTTACTTTGCTGAACATTATTGCTGCTTACAGTTTATATAAAATGTGAATATATACTCATCAGTGATCCTTTGAATAAATTTATTCTTAAAGGTTATCAATTTGACATTGTAGTAAGATCTTTGAATATTGTTTTTATCAGTACTAACATTGATTTTGTTAGTAATAAATCAAAACATAACTAACAAGAATGCACTTTTTGTCATGCTTAGCATGTAACCCCTACTCATAACTCATGGTACAAAAAAACAAGAAGAAGGTGTCTTAGAGACAAGAAAAACACTAACACTTTACAACTCATCATTGCCATTCCACTGACCAAAAATAAAGTCATTCTGTTCTGTAATAATGGAGAAATGTTTTCTATGTGACGTTTTGTGGACTGTTGTTTGTCTTTTTGTCTGATTTCTTATTTTGCCATGGATTTTACCAGTCTCTTTTAGACTAATGAGTTTTGATTGTCCCTCTGGTGTCTTCTGCCTTTTTTAACAACTCATCACTGTGAAGCTGTGATGAAAATGATGTAATTTTGTTAAGTAGTACTGGGGAAATGTTTGACGAAAATTTTTAGGTTCCTTCAACATATATTGAAAAGTATTGTTAAACAATAAGAAGGTGTTTGACAGATCTGAAAATAGGAAACACATTACAAATTATTACTGTCAAGGTACAGACCAAATATGAAGTCATTCTATTCAGTAGTACCTGAGAAACTAGAGGCTCCAAGGAGCCTGTTTCGCTCACCTGATATTTTTGTTTACAATTGATGCATAAAATAATGCAACCAATATACTTTTGCTTTAGTTTCAGAGATATAAGTCAAAAACTGCATTTCACCCCTATGTTCTATTTTTAGCCATATCGGCCATGTTCGTTGGCAGGCGGAGTCATCAGACACATTTTTTAAACTACATACCCTAATGATGATTGTGGCCAAGTTTGGTTAAATTTGTCTCAGTAGTTACAGAGGAGAAGATTTTTGTAAAAGATTACAAAAATTTACGAAAAATTGTTAAAAATTGACTTTTAAGGGCAATAACTCCTTAAGGGGTCAATTGACAATTTTGGTCATTTGACTTATTTGTAGATCTTACTTTGCTGAACATTATTGCTGTTTACAGTTTATCTCTATCTATAATAATATTCAAGATAATAACCTATAAACTGCTTCGCTGAACGCAACTTGATACGACCGCAGAGGTCCAACACTGAACAGTAAGGGCAAAAATGGACACAATATTCAAGCTTGATACAGGTCTGAATTTGGATTGTAATTAAATATTTGACACATTATAGGTTTCTGACACAGAATAAATGTAGTCAAAGAACTTAAAATTGGTTAAATGATTTGAATTATATTCAATTGAAGATTTCTTGCTTTTGTGCAATACACTTTGCTGTTGTGCAATACTTAGTAAATCTGTTTTCAGACTATATACAAAGAATTAAATAAATTGTGACCCCCAATTTTTCTTTGGAAAATTGATAATTTCTTAAATCTTGAAGAAAACGGTTTGGGTAATTACCCCCTAAAACTAGAAAAATGCTCGTTTTGGGCCCCTTTTGGTAGACGATGACATGATAGCATTATACGACCCCAAAATTCTTTTGCGGTCGTATAAAAATTGCAAAATTTCCTTAAAGTTACCAATTCGGGGGCAGTAACCCAACAAAGGGTTTTCTGATTTGTCTGAAAATTTCAGGGCAAATAGATCTTAATCTGCTGAACAATTTCACCCATTATCAGATTTGCTTTAAATGTTTCAGAGATATAAGCCAAAAACTGCATTTTACCCCTATGTTCTATTTTTAGCCATGGCAGCCATATTGGTTGGCAGGCTGGGTCATCAGACACATTTTTTAGACTAGATACCCTAATGACGATTGTGGCCAAGTTTGGTTGTTTCAGAGTAAAAGATTGAATATAATGGGCAATAACTCCTTAAATGGTCAATTGACCATTCTGGTCATGTTGACTTATTTGCTGAACATTATTGCTGCTTACAGTTTATCTCTATCTATAATAATATTCAAGATAATAACCAAAAACTGAAAAATATCCTTAAAATTACCAATTCAGGGGCAGCAACCCAACAACGGGTTGTCTGATTTGTCTGAAAATAATTCAGACAGATAGATCTTGACCTGATTAACAATTTAACCCCATGTCAGATTTGCTCTAAATGCTTTGGTTTCAGAGATATAAGCCAAAATCTATATTTTACCCCTATGTTCTATTTTAAGCCATGGTGGCCATCTTGGTTGGCGGGCCAGGTCATCGGAAACTAGATACCCCAATGATGATTGTGGCTAAGTTTGGTTAAATTTGGCCCAGTAGTTTCAGAGAAGTTTTTTTGTAAAAGTTAATGAACGATGAAAACGGACGACGGGCGACGGATGCCAAGTGATGAGAAAATCTCATTGGGCCAGGTGAGCTAAAAAGTGTGACGAATATATTTGTTGGCAGAACGAACAACAGACAAGTATAATATGTTCTGCTAAAAATTTATGAAAACTTATTGTCCTACATCCTATTAATACACTGTACCTATATTTTGGCATTGCACAAGATCATTGCTTTTCTTAGGCTGTTTATGACGTCTTAATACTAAATCCGTTGGATATGCACTGATCGATATTGTAGTCTGGGAGAACATGATTTATTTATTAGTTGCAATTGGCTTTGAACAAGCTTTCAGTAACTACTAGTTCTCTAAGATCAGTAATTTGTTATAATTTTATTGTGCCTTGTGCCATTCTGATGAGTCAAGCCTTTTCCAACTGATTGCTACAGTTTGTTCTTATGTTGTGTTGTTAAGCCACTGTCCTAGTTTATGGTAGGTTTTAGCACAAACAAAGTAAAATGAGGAGATGTGGCATGATTACCAATGAGTCAACTATCCACCAAAGACCAAATGACGTAGCAACTATATATCACCATACAGCCTTCAACAATGAGCAAAACCCATACCGCATAGCAAGCAACATGGTTACCCTGCCACATTCTTTATGTGCCAGTACCAAGTTAGCCTGATTCAGTGTTAATTGTCATTGGTTGCTGTCTGTCATATTTGTTTTTCAGTATTGTTTAGCATAAATTAGGTAGTTTGTTTTCTTTTTCTTGAATTGAATAACATTTTGTCATACCTTTTATAGCTGACTATAAGGTTTGGCTTTTGCTCATTGTTGAAGGCCGTATAGTGACCTACATGCACTTCTTACATCCATATCATTTTGACTTGATGGATTGTCTCATTGTCAATAACATATCGTCTTATTGTTATAGTGGTAGGGGAAAATCTCTAAGTAAGAAATGTAGACAGAATAAAAATCTTTTGCACTGAAGAATAATTCATAATGGTGGGTATCTTCAGTTTTCAATCTCTATATCACATTTAAGGGTTTGTTTCAGGAGTGGCAGCCATTTGATCAATTATATAGAATTCATCAAAAATATTTTTTTTTAAAGTTCAACAATCTGGAATCAATTTTTAGGTGAGATGAACAGTATATTTTTGAATGTTTCATTTGACTTTATTTTGACTGTTTCATTTGACTTTTTTTATACATACCTTGCATGTCTTGCTGCTTTCGCCTCTAGACTGGCTGGAATCATTTCATTAATAGCAGTCAGAAGCTTCTGGAAATTACTTGTGTATTCTAGTCCTTGTATAGAGGCTCTTCTAGTTTCCTTTAATTAAATATTCAAAAATCAAGCTTTTCATGACGCATATAACACAACTATATACAATGTATGTAAGATTGGATTATGTGAAAATTAGTTTTTGTAAAGTTTTGCAATTTATGACAATATTTGTAAGATTTCTACGGCAAATGTATTTTATTATTTGTTGCTGTTATAGGCAGCTGTGTTTTTCAATGCATAGGTGTAGAATGATTGACATCTAGAAACAAATTTTTCTCAAACCCATGCCAGGGGCTGTCTTTCACTTGCAGTGAGATGATTTTTTTTGCTCCATGTTGAAGCAATCTGTGATTTGATATGAAGAAAAGCCATTACAGTGACGTTCCTTTGCTTTTGATTTTTCTATGTGAGTGTAGGGCTTTTAAGTCAATAATTGATACAGTACACTGTATCTTTTCTTTTCCATTGTACATGATATTTAGAAATGCAAAGATATAAGGTTTGAAATGGGAAACCTCAATTTTGGGTGAAATCCCTTTGCGCCAAAAATGTTTACGGCTTAATCTAATTAAGCCATTTTTAGGTATTGTATAGAATACAATTGTTGGGAACTCTCTTCATTACAATTTCAATATTAATTGATTAATACCAAACAAATGATCCTAGATGGTCTCTCGAAAACCATTTATAGTGTCTTTGTTTTACATGCCACTCGAAGTAATAGGGGGTCTAACTTCCATGGTTGGTCCAGCATGATAGAAATCCATTTAACACACTAATGTACTGCTCATTTGTACACACAATCCCATTACTAAAATTTTTTTTGGTCATTCAATGTCCCCTTATTTCTCCATTCTTCTTACACAATAATAGTCATACATATTCCATATTTTAGTGCATTTAAGGTTTCATAATTTGTTTAGTATTTTATATCCTTAGTGTAAATATAGGTTTATTGACAAATATTCATTCAGGTAACTTGGTGCAATTGAATTCTGAATTCTGGAAGATACAATTCCTTTGATAAATAAAATTTTGTACAAATTATATATCTCAAAAATAGCAATTGTTGCAAAAGAACTGCAGCCACATGAGGACAATCAATGTTTGACACCTTTCTAAAAATAAATTAACAGGATAACTAGTGAATTGCTACCTTTTAATTCGTGGATGACATAATATTGTTTTTAAAGCTGATAAACAGTAAATTAAGATTTAAATTAAGATTAAAATTGTTGAACTTCTCCTTCTGGAAAATCATTAATTTTAGCAGTATTTCTAAAACATTTGACATCAAAAGTCTCAACAAGCAAGATGACAGGTGAAAAAGGGCCAGATACTGTTATCCTGTGATATTTAATGACCAGGGCAGGTCAAAGAAAAGTCTTGGGTGAGTTGGTAAATTCCTGGGTCCAGCAGATAATTTTTACAACCATATTCCCAAGAAGAACATGTTGATATAATATGACTATGAATGTGAAGTCTTCTTTGTACCATACTAGCATATTCAATTAGGTTTTTACATGCTACCTCAAAAGGTAACAGTCTGCAAGAAGACATGTTAATTTACCCAGATAAATTAGTTGGATTACAATCCAATTAGTCTGTGCTGATAATTCTGGATGCTGTGTGCTTAGCATTGAAGCAGCATATGAATTTCAAACTCATTAGTTTGACCTAAATTCAGACCTAACCCATCACTCACGTCAAGCAAATCACAAGACCACAGAGGATGTTTTACATCGGAATTTTATATAATTTTAACATACAGTACAATGTACAAACCATTTTTACACTCAATCTGAACATCTGAGTTTCTTTAAAGTTTGGCCAATTAATTTGAAGCTTTTTCAAAATATGATCCCAAACAAGTTTATCTTCACTGTCTGGAACTTGGTCCCATTTATTACACACAAAAATGGCAGTAGTAGGATCAAAGTTGTACATCTTTCCCTCTCTCTTCTGCATTTCAAATATTTGCAAAAGCTAGACAAAAAAAAATATTCAAAGGTACTTATGACATATATATTTTGAAAAAGAAACAAAAAAGTAAAAATTCATTAATAAAAATCTCAAGCTTTATATGGAACCTTGTCAAAAGGTTTTCATTGTCACTTCCAATTTTGTTTGTCCATTGATAATATGGTTGTAAATTGGTTGTTGGTGTCATATAATGATCCAGTCATCCCCTATTAATTCATTAACAACTGATCCTTTTTGGGTTTGATGCTCCAAAAGATCTAAGCACTTGACTTCCCAAACTTTACCACTTGAGAATACCTGATGATGGTTAATCGAGGAACACAGGTCATGTACAGTGAAACTGGTATCATAACATTATTGAACCATCACTGGGTTAGTGCCACTGCTGGATGACTTATAGCCCTGAAGGTATTATCCACAAGAATAATATAGGTATTATAAATAGCATCCTAACCTATATCTATTAACAAAACATTTTTTCATTAACTTATCAAATATACCTTAATTCAGAGGCATTTCAAATCAATGTCTCATTGTTGACATCACATCTGTGAACAAAACAAGAAGGAAATGTTTCCACATCTTTTGGACTTATATCTTACACTGTCACTCTGAACATCTCCAGGCTTACTAATGTTTATAATATATATTTTTTGAAAGGCTTACCCTGTCCCTCTGAACACCTCCAGATTTACTGCTGTTTATAACATATATAAGACTTACCCTGTCACTCTGAACACCTCCAGCGTTACTACTGTTTATCACTTAAATAAACACTTACCTTGTCACTTTGAACACCTCCAGCATTGCTACTGTTTATAATATAAATAAAGACTTACCCTGTCACTCAGAACACCTCCAGATTTACTACTGTTTATAACACAGATAAAGACTTACCCTGTCACTCTGAACACCTCCAGCGTTACTACTGTTTATCACATAAATAAAGGCTATAGCTTTTGGTAAATAGTCAAGTAATCTCTTGTTTAGCTCTTCACTTGATCCTATTCCTGGAGTATCTACTATAATAGCATGGCTCTGAAATGATAAACATTTTTACCCTTCATTCTCAAAATCAATTAGGTAGCCCTACATTATAACACTCTTTACAATTAATATTGTTTAATGTTTTGATTTTGTAAAATTTATCAACCCCCTAGATTTCATCAAGTATAATAAAATTTAAAACATTCAAACTAGAAATGACATACATGTTAGAAGGTTATAGTTATTTTTGTTTTACAATAGTTATGTATCAGACATGAATTTTTATAATTATTAAAAGGTAGCTTTTAAAATTCAAAACAAAAATATGAACCATACTTAATACCTGCAAACTTTTGAAAGTAAAACAAATGAATCAAAAATACCTTTCAACTCAAATTAATGTATGCATTTATTATTAGGAATTTTTGACGGTTGACTTTAATACAAGATTTATAATATGGTTCATCATGTAATAAAATCTTTTCCATCAAATTAGAACCAAGTGAGGATTCTAAGTAGAGGACCTTCCATATGTAATTCCTGTCAAGTCTTGTTAAAATTATTAATGTAGTTTCAGAGAAGATGATGTCAAAGTGATTTGCCGAATGGTTTCAAAGGGAACTAGCTATATGCCACCAATGTTTACCACGTTTGCGACTGATCAACATTAAAAGAGGATTGTAGGTAAAATAAAATTTTATGAGAATGGAAACAGGAAATGTGTCAAAGAGACAACAACCTGACCAAAGAGCAGAAAACAGCCCAAGGCCACTAATGGATCTTCAACACAGCGAGAAAATCCCGCACCGCCAAAGGAGGGCTTCAGCTAGCCCCTAAACAAAAATGTATACTTGTTCAGCGAAAATGGACTTCACACTAAACTCTAAAACATATAAATGTACCAAAATTAAAGAATATATCTTCCAATCATCATTCTCCAATAGTTTCGAAAATATTTCGCCGTATTATGTTTCTAATCCAATAAGAAAATATGGAAAATTTTCATAAAAGACTTTTCATACTATTCCTACAAATGGAGGACAATAGCTTTCATGGCCATATGAAAAAAATGCTAGTAATGGCAGGAAATTTAGATTTAAACAAGCATTCAGGGGGTATCGCATGGCAATACATAGTCGCCTACCAGTTAAAAATATTGTACTGGAACAAAATGCTAACTTGATCTATAACTTTTCATGGTGTAAACTATATAAGAAATATCAAGTCAATATCTTCAAGCATGACGAAAAAAAGTGTGGAAAACTGATTAACTTTAAGTGAATTTTCAAAGTCCAAGGACCATAACTCTGCACAAAATCATCAGACCGGAACAAAATTGGAACTTGATCTATAACTGGTCATGATAAAACTATATACCAATTATCAAATCAATATCTTCAAGCATGATGAAAAAAAGTGTGGAAAACTAATTATTTGAGTGAATTTTCTAAGTCCAAGGACCATAACTCTGCACAAAATCATCAGACTGGAACAAAATTCGAACTTGATCTGTAACTTGTCATGATAAAACAATATACTAAATATCAAATCAATGTCTTCAAGCACGGACTGACGGATGGACAGACAGACAGACAGACAGACAGACAGAGTGCAAACCTAAAGTCCCCTTTGACTTCGTCGGTAGGGGACTAATAACTGACAAAAAATTTAGTGTTCTTGGTCAAAGATACTAAAAACATCAAGCACAGTATACTAAATTTTTCTAACCCTCTAAAGAAATATGTACTGATACCTTTAGTATAGGAAATGGTAGATGTACATCAACATATTTATACTTGTTTCCCTCTACATTAACATAATTATGTAAGGTTTCCTTCATTAAGGCAGGATCTGATGGTAAATCTACTTTTGTTCTATCATCATACAAATCTGTCACATACACAGCTCTCTCTTCTTTGTTCCAAATTCGGCACACAGTATATGTACATGTCAGTAATGACTGGGGTAAAATATCACTACCCAGGAGGAGATTTATCAAACTACTTTTACCTGCTGCAGTCTCACCTGAAGAAAAAGATCATCAACATTACAGCACTATCTTATAAAAATAAACTGTTAACACAGAGATATGTCTCGCCTTTTTGTTATTTTGATAATAAAATGCAAATGTTGAAATTAAAATAACAATACTTTAACATGTAAGTTAGGAAAATTATTCAAAGTCAATGAACCATGACTGAAGGTACAGGACCAAACAATCTCCATAGAAATGAGATGTGCAAATGTTAATAGTAAATACAACTGATACCAAATATCATTGACCTACTTCTAGTGGTTCCCTATAAACTGACCTAATCACAAACTAATACATGTAAACTAATCAAAAGTTTCAAAGTCAATAGACCATGACTGAGGGGGTGGGGCCAAATAATTTCCATGGAAATGAGATGTTCCAACACTAATACATCTGCATACCAAATATCATTGACATACCTCTAGTGGTTCCCCATAAACTGACCGAATCAGAAACTAATACATGTAAACTAATCAAAAGTTTCAAAGTCAATAGACCATGACTGAGGGGGCATTGCCAAATAATTTCCATGGAAATGAGATGTTCCAACACTAATACAACTGCATACCAAATATCACTGACATACCTCTAGTGGTTCCCCATAAACTGACCGAATCAGAAACTAATACATGTAAACTAATCAAAAGTTTCAAAGTCAATAGACCATGACTGAGGGGGCATTGCCAAATAATTTCCTTGAAATGAGATGTTCCAACACTAATACAACTGCATACCAAATATCATTGACATACCTCTAGTGGTTCCCCATAAACTGACCGAATCACAGACTAATACATGAAAACTAATCAAAAATTTCAATGTCAATAGACCATGACTGAGGGGGCATTGCCAAATAATTTCCATGGAAATGAGATGTTCCAACACTAATACAACTGCATACCAAATATCATTGACATACCTCTAGTGGTTCCCCATAAACTGACCGAATCACAAACTAATACATGTAAACTAATCAAAAGTTTCAAAGTCAATAGACCATGACTGAGGGGGCAGGCCCAAATAATCTCCATGGAAATGAGATGAACTGCATACCAAATAACATTGACCTACCACTAGTGGATACCCATAAACTAACCAATCACAAACTAATACATTATTGACGCCGCTACCACCAGCACTCCCGGCGCCGTAAACAGCATACCTATATCTCGTTTTTTGACTCCATCAAGGTGAAACAATAACAAGATGTGGTATGATTGTCAATGAGACAACCCTCCACCAGAGACCAAATGACATAGAACTTAACAACTATATGTCTTATCTATTAATTTAGATCAAACATTCATCTCTTGATGGTTTCTTCCCAATTTATGTTGTCAGGTTGTTGTCTTATTGACTTACCATACAAAATCTTTTATTTCATGTTGACAAATAAGATTCTAGAATGATTGAGTCTTCCATAGAAGAGGTATTGCCACCGGTTGGTATGGGAAATGTAAAAGATACTTCAGATCAAAACTTGAAATAGCAGTTGCATAACTTCATGTCCTGTACAAAAACCAGTGCAAGTTTGGAGGATATTTGTGAAGCAGTTTTCATGGAATTACAGTTAAACAAACTGACATAAGCATAAATGGCTTACTGCATGTTTTGGTATTGGAAACCCCCAAAACAACTCAGATAAAGAATTTGAATAACAAGGTGCACAACTTCATATAAGTGTAGAGAATCTGTACAAGTTTGGTCGATTTCTCTCCAGCAGTTTTCATGGAATCGCTGATTGACTAAGTGTGACATAAACGACTCAGAAGATTATGACACAAGAAGACAGAAAAGATCCCAATGGTTGCTGCAGATGGATACTGTCAGGAAACTCAATAATGAACAAATAATTATGAATAAAAGAAGATTAGCATTTCAGATTTTTCCGCATCCAGGTTTTGAGGGCACAAGGCAAATGTAACTTAAATAAAGCTCAAGAACCCTCTTAGTAAGTGTAGCCCATTATACTTTAATTGAAAATGTTGAATTAGTTGCATTTTCATTTCATTTTTTTAATTAGTTAAATGCTTACTAGCTCCCTTTTAGCCATAAAGCTTACAAAAAGTACACTGATAGGACTCTAAAAGATAGCATCATTATCGTTCATTTTTTGGCTTCATATTATTTGTGTTTATCTTTAAAATCAAGTATAACAAAAAGTAACTAGTATTCTGTTCACAATTTTTTTCAGTAACTGTTATGAATTGCTGTTTCTGGCTAAGCATTATGTAAAAGAACCTAACAAATTTAATAACCACTTGATAGAGACATCAACACTTGCCACATATTAAACTTATTCTTTACTTGATTATCTCTCATACATAATCAAAATGATTGAAATAACTCTTGGAAAGATAGGAAGAGTAGTTTGAATAATTTCAATTATATTTAGGTATTGTGTGGACAAAAAAGAACATAAATATAGCACTAATGCAGACAATTTCATTAATGCTGTTTTTATTGTGTTTGTTTGATATGTATGTATTATATGTTTATTGTATTAATACATGTTGGTCACAAACTGTAAAGTTTATACGACAATAAAATATTTGATTTGATTTGATTTGAATTAACTGCAGGTCTTAATCAAAGTACTGAAGTACTGAACATCGGATGACCGCAGGTTCTTGTGGATGGTCAAAAGCACATGTCACAGAAACAGATCACATCTCTATACCTGAAACTGAGGTTAATTTACAGAGATTTTTTTTTCTTACACAAGTTCGTGCTTGGATGATGAATAAATGACAGGAAATTCAACCTCACCGTAATAACTATTATATTGTAGTGATACAAATCAGTATACCTTAGACTATTATACTAATATAATAATAGTTCCAGAGAATACACTGGTTTGTTGTTATATATTATATTAATATTACGGTTGCATGTATATATAATTTTCATCTATTTGTATATCATACTATTCTACTATTATTATAGTGTAATGCAAGTGCATGGTGGACACTCTTCTGTAAAAAAAAATCAAAGTCTTAAAGGCTGTAAAAGCAATTGCTGCCATGTTAATGCTTTGTGGACTTTTATTTTTCATCCATATATATAAGAATTAAACCTGACAGGACAGGAGTGTTGACTAGTGAGAAGCAAGACGGTTTTAACTTTATATCAATATAAGACTTTAGCAGGAAATCATTTTAAATATGTTTTATATTTTACAAGGAGACAACAAGTTTACCAGGCTAAAGTTGGGGTTAATTATACATGTGCTGAAACATATAACTGAAGAAAAAAAATCATTATGGATTATCCCCTGGTAGTGTTTGTAACTGGGCAATAATTTCCTTCATTGATTTAATTTTAACCATTTTCATAATTAATTTAAATTAACCATTCAGTTAAAACATTTCAACTTTCCAGACGCTAATGTTGAAAAACGGGACAGAAATAAAATATCTTACAAGACATAAACATGTAAAAAATAAATATATATTTCAGCTTACTAAAAATATTTTCATAATGTTACTTTGACATCATTTCTTAAAACTAAGTCCCAAACATAATTGCTCAGTTGACATGTGTCATCCTCATGCGATACGAGATAACTATAATTCTGATGCAATCCCGAAAAGGGGGGTCATCACAAACAAACATGACATTAAATTGTCATTATACGAACTAGAACAAACAGCTCTATGTTGCTTTGATATTTATCAATTTTCAGGAAACATGTGAAATAAATTTCAGGTCCATTTCTTTCATTATAGTGCCTAACAAGATTGTGTGAGGTAGACGAAATTGACCTTAAAACGATCGTATTGTCTTTTGATGTCCAAAAATAGGCAGATCGGACATATACAGACTTTATCTAATGACTACATAAATTTGGCATTTATTATTATTATAATATTCTAATGAAACTGAAAATTGTATTTTTTTTTTAGGATAAACAACAATTTTACCTGGCGTAGCCGTTCATAAATGTTTTTCTGCATTTATCTTCGAAAAATGGCGTATTTAATGGAATAGAACGTTAATACAGTAAACTTTCTCTTTTTTCTCCGCAATAGGCTATCAAAAATAATTTATCTAATGTGTATGTGGAAAATTATGTGAAAAGATAAAAAGTGGCAATTGTTACCTTTCATACCTTAAGTTTCGTTCATCTGATTCTGACCAATGCTTATATACTAAATATCTATTTATATGCCGCTATTATTGTTGTTGTTACCAATTATGTAAATCAATTGTATCTGATTTTATGCCCTTTATGGGCCCTGTAATTTGGGAATTAAAAAAAAATCTATTCATTGATAAAACGTAATATGGACTGGTCCAGTGTCCAGTTTGCAGGTCATTTAATTTTCTGTACACATTCATGCACGCTCTGATTTAATCAATATACTCGTACGAAAAAGCATGAACAGTTTGAAGGTAATCTAATAATAACTTAATCCAATCAAATTGCATAAGATTCAATAACAATGTCAAGTCCACATCATAATGAGTAATAGAGGTAAACTGGGTAGGGAGAAAATGACAGATATTTCAAGTTAATATTTATGCAATAACGAATTAAAATTTGTCAACCAAAAGTTTTGCTACAATTTCAAAAACATGTCGTTCTGTATGGGTATAGTTTTCGGATCTTTCATTAGCGTATTTAAGGCTATAAAAAGTTTTGGCTTCAAAAGTTCACACAATTATTGACTTTATACAGAAAATCCGTCCTTGTAAAACATTTAATAGTTCACAAATGATACGCGATTTTAAAGTAAAATTATTTCTTAAAACACTGCAAAAAATTTCATTCATATTGATAAAGTGCGTTGAAATGAACAGTGGTATAGCAAACATCGAATTCCCTCACAAAATGTTATCACACACTACAGTAAGGGGGGTCAGTTAAGTTTGTCTATTTTTAGATACTATACAGGTAATCTTTTGACACTACGTATACAACCTGTGTGACCTGTGTAGTGATTTTGATTTTACGATAAATTCATGAATGAACGATAATTTTATGAATGAACATGAGCACCTGACCTCTTTCTTAAACACCTATTAAACATATAAAACCGAGAAAAGGAGATAATTCAGTCAAATTTTCAGTACTAAATCAACAACTGAAATGATTCCATTTTTTTATGAAACATCGTACGAACGGAGAACGGAATCGCAGGTATAAAAATGCACTTTTTTCCCTTGTAATGACCGCGGATCTATAATTTTTATAGATCGGTTGAAATCCCAAAACTAATTTGCATAATGGAAATTTAGGCGATAGCAATACATCGGAGTGACCTCAAGGTCATCCTCTGTAAAAAGGATAAGCACTTTTCAGCAGCTAAAATGAGCTAAATGTGAATCAATTCAAGAGGGTTCCTTAATTTGCATAACAATTTTGTTTAAATTGTTGTTTTATATCTTAATCAAATAATGTTTCCTGTTCCATGTTTAACATTTTAAGTCTTATCTTAGAAACAGAAGAAATTACAAAATAAACATTCTTCTAATAAAGTTTATCCATTATCCTTGTAGGACATGGGACCAACAGATAGGGACTTGAAACTAAGATCATTATTGTCTCCAAAAACTAATCTAGAAAAGTTGTTTTGGGGGCATTTAGTAAGTTGAAACATATGTATACTATTTTTCTCCTCTAAGAATTGCTTATTGACTTTGAAAACATATATATGACACTGAAGATTAAAAGATGTAGGATGTATTTTATATTTTGTATTTTCCAGAAAGGGGCATAAAAAAAAAGACCAGTAAAACAATCTTTTAACAAGTAAAACCAATAATAAATATATTTAAAAAAAGACATACTCAGACACTTATTAAAAAGATTTGAAAGATACTGAGTATATAAGTTAATTTACATCAGAAAAAATACCTGCAACTACAATAGGACATTGTTCTTCAATCAGTTCATCTTTATAACTGGTTATTTCTGATAAAACATCACCAAATTCTGTTGTCATTTCTTCTTTGAGTGTATATTCAAACCTATCATCTGACATAAACTTCTCAATGTCACCATATAGGCCATACAGACTTTGCTTTCTTTTCACATCTGTTTCTAGAATTTTTTCTACAGCCTCAGCTCCTTGTTGCTATATTAATTTATTGACAAAAATTACAAATTCATCATCATCCATCAGTTCAACAGTGTTTACAAAAGTATTAAGAAGCAAAAGTCCTAAAATCAGCAATTTTCTTAATGGTGAATAAGACTTCTCACAAAATCACAAATCTGAGAATAATAGAAGAGCAGAATGCTAATGTCCCCTGCATTGCATATATTATATCTATACAAAGGCAATAACATATAAAACTTTTTATAAATATCTTATACCGGTAGAAGTGTAGGCTTTAAAGGGTTTACAATACAATTTTCTGTAAAATTAATATTCCCAAGGGGCAAAACTCTATTCAAATATTTGATAGGCACTGATTTTCCAACTTGTCCAAGACATTGCTGATATGAATCTTTGATACAAGTTTGATAAGAATCTGGCAAAAATTGTACACAAGAGAGCAACTACAATGCAATTTTCCATATAATTCATATCTCCAAGGGCCATAACTCTTTAAAAAAAGTTCATTGGCACTGATTTTCTAACTTATCTGAGACATTGCTAATATAAGCCTCTGATATAATTTTGATTAAAAGCTGGCAAGAATTGTACACATGAGAGCGCTTACAAGACCAGACGGACACTCAGATAGACGGACGGACAAACCCCAGGTATTTCTATTTCCCCCCGCAATACATCGCACGGGATAACAAGATTATCACTTTTTATTAAAATACAAATAATTAGTTTACTCTGCAATTTACAAAATACAAGGTTCAAAAACCAGTTAAACCCTATCGTTTGTATATGTGCATGCATGTCCCAAGTAAGAAAACTTCATAAGTGGTACTCTTTAGTTAGATTTTTCTTTCTTTTGAAAATCAGCTTTTTATGGCAATCTTTGATAGTCTCAATTAAAATCATGTACAACTTTGGGAAAATTCTGGTGAAATTTGACTTATTGCATAAACACTTCTCTCCTGCTGATTACCATATATTAATCTCTAGATGTTAATTTATCTTTTATGTCCTTGGATTGCTGTCTCATTAATGACTGCCATAATTTTCTTTTATTCCTTGATACATTCAATTACTTCTTACATTTCTCTTGAAATGTTAACTTAAGATGTAAAACTCAATATTATGATTGTCCCTTGCCTTGAAGAATGATGGGCAATACTATAGTGTTAGTAACTGGATGTTTCTGTATTGGCCCTTGTAAAAAGATATGAGGTTAGCTGTATTGGCCCTGAGACTGCAAGAGAAGAGGGCCAATACAGATGATCTAGAATCTATACCCTGGCCAACACAGAAAAAGGCAGTTCCTAACAGTTCTATTAAATGATTCTAATTCTGAGATTTAACTCATAAACTTACTATATATGAAGCAGGTACAGAAATCATATTTGAACTTTTCTTTACCCAGTCACAATGCATTTTTTTGTCAACATTGACAAGATTTCTGATTTCTCTTTTAATTACCTTACCTAATCTATATTAAAGGGAAACTCCGCAAAAAAATGAAAAATTGATATTTTGTTCTTTAAGCATAAAAAACCACATGTTCATTAATAAAAAACTTTTATTCTCTATGTAAAGAGATCAAAATCGAGTTTTAAAATTCACTATCAGTTCTCGACATATCGCCATCTTGTCGGCATGTTCGATCTAAAACGTCACGTGATATCTATAAACCACAAAGAACAAAAAGAATCGGGGATTTACCGACCGTGCGTTAAAAACTCCCATCATCAATTGGGGATTACCGTAGACGGTTATTCAGTGACAGAATGTCTTGTCAAGAGTACGGTTGTTCTGTCAGACAAGGTTATGACAAAAGTCTACATATTTTTCCCAATCCCACAAAAAAAGAAAGAATTGTATCAGACATGGTTGTACAATCTTAAACTAACAGCAAATAGTTGCATCTATAGCAAGCACAAGTTGGTGTGTGAAGACCATTTTGAACAATATTGTTTCGAGGGAGATTCGATGGTAATTATCCTTTTTTAATAACAAAATAACCTAGCAGTTCTGATAGCTATAGTTATCAAATCCTTATATGATAAGATCTCGTTGAATAAAAAAATATAGATTTGATGAGGGAGAACAGTTTCAATTAAAAGAAAGACAAATGCAGTGTTCTTGTAACAATCACTGATTTACAGAAGATTCATTAGTATGCCTCTTTTATATAAAGTGCATTGATTTGTATAAAGAATAGTTCCGTATTTAGACAAGATAATTTTTCAATTAATAAAGTTATACGATATAAAATAACATTTTTTTAATTATGAAATTTAACGGCTATTGACAAGGAGCAATGTTAGGAAGAGGTTTTAGCTGGAACATAATATGTTGATATAGTATAATATTCCCAGGTTATAGATATGTAAATATCGAAATTTCGGACATCTCAACTTTTTTATTAAAAGTGGGTTTTTTTTAACTAATCTTTAAATTATATCAAATTGATACGGGATCAATTCGGAACGGTCACTTATAAAGACACTTAGCTTTATAGTTAAATGTGTGACTCTATCTGGTATGTTCGGTGAAAAATTTATAGGTTTTTTTCTTTTTAGATTTTATTTACGTTATCTTATTATATATATATTTTGGCTTCCTCCCGAATTGATAATAGGTATGTCAGAATTATTGATAGATGTCGTGTCAGAGCGACTCATTCAGTTAGGTATTCCAAGGGCGTATATTAGATACACGTCCCTGGGTATTCCAGTGACATCCTGTCAACTAAAAATTCGTAATACACAATTATATAATACATGTTCATGCATGGCCTCTTTATTGAGGTACCCGGTGTGCACAGGTAACATTTATTGAACCATATATTTGTGTCTAACGTTGTTTATCTTGTATGTGTTTGAAATTATAATTCCACCTTTTAATGAATGATGTTCTGATAATAATATTATCCACTATTTTTGCTGATAATAAGTTTTAAAAAAATTATAAACATGACCTTTGAACATTTTTGTGAAATGAATATTGTTTTGTCATGATTCTGGACCATATTTTTGAAGAAAAAAAATTCTTCACGCAAATACAAGCTTTTGTCGATTGGCAAACATGCAGATATATAAAGTAATGCAGCACTTATAGTCACTATCAATATTAATTCATTGAAGATAAGAGAGCCCTTCTATGTCTAATGTCCCTATCTTTATAAGGATTAGGACGACAGGGGAAAAGGAGCGGAGATAGAGTGGCATAGTGAAAAAAAATAACCGAATAGAGAACAATATAGAGAATGATCGACGAAAAGCGAAATAGTTATTGTAAAGGAGCGGAGATAAAGAGAGGCATAGTGAAAAAAAATGTTTGCCTGACAAAGTTATTGCTCGCTTTGATATTTTTAGTTATAAAAAATCACACATCGTGTTCCTAATTGGTATTCACGTGCACTAACTTGATGCTGGGAACAGTATATTAATATATATGTTGCTGCTTGATGTGTTAAGTTTCTGCATAGCATGGTTAAAAATAATTAGTATCCCATTCGTTATATCGTAGTGTCACGGTGTTACTTTGTTAAATTTATTTAGTCCGTTAATGATTGTGTAAATAAGAATAAATCTGTATAAAAACTTCATACCATTTTAGTGATTGCCTATAGGCGTTTGATTATTGTTATATTTAAGATATATATATATATATTTAGAACATTTCATACATCTTAAAGTAAAAGATGTGTGTCTGAGTTAAACGACACAATAACCCTGTAATACTAGTACGAGAGTATAGCATGTAAAAATTCCTACTCAATATGGTTGTATTGGAAATCTTTTCATACAGATTGACAACTCATGGTCCGACATGCATGTAATATTTGCCACATGACGCTCATAGTTCTTTATACCATCATCATCTTATTCATTAAATATTGCTGTAAACATCGATGGTTCACACCCAAACAAAATGGGAGTAATATACCCTCAGATCTTCTCCGTGGTATACACTTGTGAAATATATAGACGACATTCGGTATTGAAGTGAATCTACATCTCACAAACACAATTTTTGAATTACGATTTTGAGTGAACACCCACCAAACCAATACAAACGTATGGCAAGATATAACCATGCAGGTATTTAGTTTTCGTCAGACACAAGATAAATAATCACTCTCATAAACGTATATATGCATGCAGTTTCAAATATCAAGAACAAGCGGTCGATGTCTATAGATCATTGTTAAGTCCGTTTACTAACTGTTCAGAGTCAGACATGTCAATAGTTCATTCTTGGAACCTTCATATACCCCATCCGACGATGGGAACTCTTTCTGATAGTGTTGACAACATAAGCTTGTTTATCTGTACAAGTGGTTGCATGGCCTCTCCTGCCCCAACAAACAAATACGCTTCTAGTCTGCTGTCTCTGGAGCTCATCCTCAATGGCGCATATATGTCAGGAAACTTACAAGTATACTAGTAAAGATTGTTTCAAGAACAACGAGGTTGGGACGAACTGTTCTAAAATCGTCAATATCAGTAATACATTACTAAGATATGCCTTTAATTACAACAACTGTATTACTAATTTGGATTAATGACGGCTATCCTAAAAAAAATCCTCAAACAAATTAATGTATTAGCTTAAATTTATAATGTATGTATATTCATTAATGAAAAAATCGATAATTGGTATTCTTTTCACAAATAATTTGTCTAAGTGATTGTCAAATGAATTCAATTATGTAAGAATGCAATGTTAATAAGAAAATTAAAAAAAATCATGCATGTTGTACTGTTGTATTTTTTCAATTAAAAACTTTAAATATGCGATAGTTTTAAGATTGTTAGCATTTAAACATCGCCAGATTTAAATACAAGTTAAAGAATTCCGGTAAAGTAAATTAAACAGATGTGCAATGATTATTAATTGGGAAATGTAAGTAAACATTTAATTTTTAAGATTAAAAGTACTATTCTTTTAACTTCATATCTTAACTTTATAATAATTGCATAGAACGTAACCGAAAATTGTTCCATTTTAATATTGTAACACTTCCGGAATTAAAAAGTTGAATGATAATTTTCAATTAACTTATACAATTTAATTATTGTTTCTCTATTGTCATCGGGTATTTCATCTGGGTATATTAAACACGCTATACTCTTTCTGTTAATCCATTCAAAATGACAATATTCACACCTGTGTACGCTTGAATTCACACCAGTGTACGCCTGAGGCTAAATTGCTGCAAGGTAAAGTTCAAACGAATTCTCCTCAAATCGATAAATAAACAATGACTTTACAAAATAATATACACACTCTGTTCACAAATATTTTGCATTGAAATGGTTATCAAAGTTATAACGGTAAATAAAACTTAAAATATTTTCAGTTCAATATCAGTAAAAATGTTCTATAGATATTTTATGAAAAAAACTCAATAATTTATGCAATTAATTCGAAAATATTTATATTTAGATAACTTCATATAGGAAGTTTTATTCAATCAATACAAAACGGTACACACATATTCATTTTCTTTCATTCTTATATTGTGGTTAATAACTACGACCAACGGTCATCTGTGCGCTTTTAATTACGTAAAATTCTGATAAGCAATTAAGACTTTAACATATTTTATTTTTACCCATGATTCAACAAATCGGGTTAAAACGTCACAACCCAGTGACGTAGGTCAACCAAAAAAGTTACAAATACTTGATTTTCTCTGTTATTAGAAAGAATATAAATTTAAAACTTTGTGAATGTGTTTTTTATGTTAAGATGAACATATTTAGATGATAAGTCAAAAATCGCGGACTTTCCCTTTAACACAATTAATTTTATATAGAAAAAAATAAAGAAGCTGGGAAGAATAAGTCAGACTTTTAACCATTCTTATTCTTTTAAATTGTCTGTGTTCTGGTGATGGAAATGAAACAGTGATACTAGTCCAAAGTTATACTAAGAAAGGCTGTCGAAGTTTTCTATTTCAAATCGTAACAAAACACAAAACATAATTTATTTAAAAACTTTTCTACGTCATTTTAAGTTTCAAAATATGATACAAATATATCTTATGCATCAAAATACATTCACAGTTTGGTGAGGCATAAACAAATTTACAAATGACTTCAGTGTTCTTTTTAAGAGACAAAATAGTGAAATAATACATCATTGCCATTAGAAATCTAAATACTTGTATAAATGTAAATACTTAACATACTGATGCGGCTGTTGAAAAAACCTTGTCCGTAGAGGTAGCCTCCATAACTTTTTCAATTGATTGGTTTCCTTTTCTCATATAAAATAAAATCAAGTCTTTCATCTCTGACTTAGTTTCCAGATTATCAAAAACTATTTTATTGTCAACTAATATTTCACTCAATTCCAATATTCCCATGTTGTTTAATTCATCTACAGTGTAGTTACATCTAAAATTTGGTCCGTTCCTGAAAGAACAAAAATCACTAAGTGAAATGATGTAAAGACAAGAAAAAGTTGTGTACTTGAAATAATCAACCAAAAGATGTACTATACAAATTACACCCCTTGCCCCTTAAACAAAACGATTATGTAATTTATCTACAGTTTCTACTTCTGAATGGATTATAATGAAATTTAAGAAGAATTTTTGGCATAAAAATATATCAGTTTAATCAAACTAAAGCTCTAAAGAGCCTGTGTCACTAACTGAGGTCTATAGTCATCTTCAAAGTTGGACACTCTCCAACATTGTAGACTAGAATAGAATTTATGACAAAAATCATTTTTTTGATGATTATGTATTGCTGATAAATTTTTCTGTTTACAGTTTCTATCTATCTTCTTTAGTCTTTGCTCAAACATAAAAAAGGGTAAAAAAATTCTCATTTCAGGGCCAATCACTCCTATAAAGAGTCTTCAAATAATTTCAGCCAAATTTGACATATTTGTAGATTTGTCTTGCTGATCATGTTTGCTATTCAATTAAAGTGTCTATCTATCACTATTAGTTTTCAAGATAATATGCACAAAATGTAAAATATTGGTAAAAATTATCCTGAAAGAGCAAGAACTCCAATAAGAAGTTGACTGACAATTTTGGCCATGTTGACTTGTTTGTAGATCCAATCTTGCTGATCATTTTTGCTAAAGTGGCTATCTATCTAAAATAGTTTTCAGGATATGATGCAGAACACTAAAAATGGGTAAAAATCAAAGAGCAACTCCAATAAGAAGTGAACTATCTATTAAAGTTTTTCAGATATTAGGCAAAATAGCAAAAAAATGGTAAAAATCATCATTAAAGGGTAACAACTTCAATTAGGGGTCATCAGACAATTTCAACCAAGTTGACTAATTTGAAGATCTTGTCTTGCTGATCAATTTTGCTTATTTAAGTTTCTATCTATCTAATATAGTTTTTCAGATATTAGAGAAAAAATGCAAAAAATGGTAAAAACTGTCATTAAAGTGCAAATAACTGCAATAAGTGATCGTCAGAGGATTTCAACAATGTATTTACTTGTAGCACTTGTCTTGCTGATCAGTTTTGCAGTTTAAAATTTCTCTCTATCTATTATAATTTTCAAGATAATAGGCAAAAATGAAAAAATGTGCAAAATTCTTCATTTAAGGGCAATAACTCCTATAAACAGTTGTCTGACAGTTTTGATTTTAATGGTCATTAAGTAGATTTCATCAATCTGAACATTTTTGCTCTTGCCAGATTTTCTTGATTTTTAGCGTTTTCAAGATAATAGACAAAACTTGCATTTTACCTCTATATCCTATTTTAAGCCATGTTGGCCATGTTGATTGGCAGGCCAGGTCATCATGGGACACATTTTTTAAACTAGATACCATAATGATGAGTGTGGCAAAGTTTGGTTAAATTTGGTACAGTAATTTCAGAGGAGAAGATTTTTGTAAAAGTTGACGATGATGGACGACGGACGCCAAGTGATGAGAAAAGCTCACTTGACCCCAAGTTGATCCCACCCCAAGTTGATTCAGCCCAAATCATTCCAGCCCCATAGTAAAATAATAAATAATTACTATAAAAATCAGTTTTGTAACATATGTGATTCACAGTAAGTGGAATTTTCACATGAAAATGATCTGAGAAATATTTTTAGGAAACAGTATTGTTGATTAATGACAGCAGGTAAGTGAAGATTATTATTGGAGCAATATTCAGGATTCATTTTAAATCGAAAAGGAGTATGATTGGTAATGTTTTGAAAGCAGCATCAGCATGTAAATATGAAGTAATTTTCATGATTATATATAGTTTTTACTTAATTCACAACTTATGAGATAAGGAGATAACTACAATCCAATGCAACATATACTATGTAATTACCGTAACGACTTATTTCAATGAAAATTAAGAACAAGACCTTTTTCCAGAAACTCATTCCCTAAAAATCTTTCCACTTTTCAATAGTTATTTTTGTCACTTTAGATCAATATTTTTCATTAAATATATTTCAAACCCACATTTCACTAACTTAATTCTATGTTCCAATTTCCCAACTTGAATAAAGCATATTCCTTAAACAAAAAATTGCACCTCACAGAATGGGATGTACATATTTGAAAAAAAATTAAGTACTTAATTCTTGGATAAGAATGGAAAAGACACTTAATATCAGACTAAAAGACATGTTTTGCTTCATTCCTCTACATTTGTTTTGTTTTGATTTCTCTTATGGGTAACAACGATTGGCATTAGATATAAAATTTAATATGAGACAAATATTTACCTTATCCATTCTTGACCTTGTTGAATAACTGTGATATTCTCATCTTTGTTTTCTTGGGATCTAAGTCTGTCATTTTCACTGGTCTCATTCAATTTTAAATCATTAGCATCATGTGAATGCTAAAAAATAACACTATAAGTCTGGCCATCGTTTATCATTAAAGTGTTAAAAGTCACTATAAATCATAATTCACAAGATTCCAGTAATAAGATTTTGTTATGTATACAGATATAAGAAATGAGTTAAAGGTAACAATTCCCATAAAAATCACTCAATGTGAAAGTACTTTACAGTGGATTCATTCAACATCACAACAATTCATACTGCTTAAAGGAAACCAATTTTCGGGTTATTATAATTCAGACTTTTTTTTAAAAATCAACCTGAAATATATATTTAACAAGTATTCAAAACCCTCTATAAAACAAGATACATGTATCTATGTGACAATTTTTCATGAAACAAAGTTTCACTTATTCTTTCAATCTGCCTTTAAGTTTAGAATGGGGATATTTCTGTAACAAGATGACAAGCCATATGGTTTATACAATTGCACACTGTGGACCTCTAACAGATCTTTGGTATTATTAGGTATCCACATCAGATTCAGAACTAAATAGGCCAAACCAGGATACACACTACAGCTACAAGTTTCATTGTATGATATCAGCCAACCCAAAAACCAATTGCAAGCATACATCAAGAGAGAGCCACATCAAATGCAACACACAGTGCTAATGGTTGCAACTTGTATCTAATTCACACCACCAAAGAGTAGTTAGTTTCAGGATAAATCTGATGCTTAGTTTTGATTGCTGATAAAATAGATGTTAATTATTTGGAAAGAGGTTTCATTGAGCATTTAGCAGACCCAGAAATATAACATTGTTTCTAGGGTTACTTACGTAATTTGGACTTTAAGTATAGTGCAAAATGATCTAGTTTTTCATCTTAGATTGAATTCCAAAGGAACACAACACAGAGCATTGATTGTTCATAATTTTCTCCTGAAGTAAGTGTTTCAAAATGGGTTGTGAATATAGTTTGACCTGCAAGACTGATTTAAAGGAATACTTATACCATCAATTCTGTTATCACAATGTAAGGGTGTCACAATTCCTGATATGTCTTCCTATTGTCTATTGACAAGTGTTCTAAGGTGAGGATTTTTAGTTTTGTGGTATATCTTTTTATGATGCAAACACGCAAATAAATGATTGAAGGATCAGGTTGATTTAAAAGTTGATCACCAATGTCATTTTTTTTTTGTGGTTGATGTCTGATTTGAGGCTGCATAATTATTTTGTTTAGCCTGCCTTTAATTTCACCAACATATACAAGCAAGAAAATCTTACATTCTAGTCTAATCAAGATGCATAGCTATGTCCATCTGTGTGTTTAGGGACAATCAAGACATGGCATCCATTCAATTAAAGTAAAACATACCTGATTCATTTCTCTGTCAGCATTTCTATTAAAATTTCCGTATGTTTCTGTAGGAAAAAAAAATTATGTAAACATTTCATTCATTTCAAGAAACATGCCAGGCCCGGCAAATGTGAAACCTGGGTTTCTCATTAGATGAAAGAAGTTGTTATAGATATAAAAAAAAATATATATAAAATCAATGACTTACCGGTATGTGACAGCACATTATCGATAAATTGATAACTAGAGGTACTGTGACCGTAATTCTAAAATGATACACCCCTACACCGGCCTTTTCCCTGTGCAAAGTCTATGATTTGCTAAACAAAACTTTAAAAATAATTCAGATAAAAAAACACAATAGATTAGGTGCTTAATTACATTATATGGTGAAGTTTCTGATAAAGTTTCTGATCAGGGCTTTCAGAGGATAAGCAGGAACAAATGAGTACTGTTATGTGCAGATTTGACAAAGTCCATGTCATGCAAATTATCTCAAAAACTAGTAGAATGAAGAAAGAAATGAAAAAGTAGGTGCAAAAATATGTCATGTGTGGAAGATTCTGAGAGAGCTTCACAAAACTCTGTGGAGTTGTTCAGGAAAGTAGTGGAAATGAAATAGATCATGACAAAGGAAGAGCGGACAAACAAACTGATGTACAAATTGACCCCGTCACTAAATACTGCCCGCTTAAAACTAAAAATGTAAGTAAACTCATGGAAGTATACCCCTGCCTAACAAAAATATCAGTATACTAAAATAGTATATCTGATTATCTCCCCTTCAGAATGTTGGACCAGGGTCTTGTTCTTTTAAGCACATCCTTAGGTAGTGTTTTTCAATTGTGTAAAGTTTCATCATTATCTGCTTAGCCATTTTTAAGGGTTGCTCTTTCGAGAATATTACTACATAATTCATTATAGAGTAAGGACATACAAAATTTTAAGCACATCATCAGGTAGTGTTCTACAACTTTGGAAAGTTTTATTAACATCATCTGCTAGGAGGAGTTGCACTTACAAGGCATTTGAATAGATGGACAAACAAACAAACAGACAAACACATTGGACAGACAAACAAACAGACAAACACATGGACAGACAAACAAACAGACAAATACATTGGACAGACAAACACATGGACAGACATACAAACAGACAAATACATTGGACAGACAAACAAACAGACAAACACATGGACAGACAAACAAACAGATAAACACATGGACAGACAGGGTGGTTCCTATATATCCCCTAAATGTTTATTTAAGGGTATGAAAATAGTGGGTATACAATGTATATCAATGGGACAATAATATAATGACACTGTTACACAATAAATGGAGAATTTGTCTATGGACCACAGACCGCTTGTAAATATGCATGAGTCAACTTCCACATACAAATGCAGGATTCACGTAGTTAAGACCGTTTTGTGATTTTAAGCATTGTGTATAAGTTTCATAACATTTGGTTGATACAAACTAAAGTTTGAGAACGGAAACGACAGATTTAGCAATTTTTCCATTTATAAAGGGGCATAACTCAAGAACAATAAAAATGGCGCCACCCAATTTCATACTTGATCTGTGTTTTGTGGTAATAAGCATTGTGTATAAGTTTTATAACATTTCGTTGAGGCAAACTAAAGTTACAGAACGGAAAGCAATTTTGGGGACGTTCTGGACAGACAAGGGTAACACTTAATGCACTGTTCGCTACGGCGGGGGCATAAAAAATTGAAATACACCTAGAGGACAACATAGAATCTTCAACAAAAGACAAGACTAAGTGTTTATACAATATATCAAGGTATAATTTTAGTCTGGGAAACATGATTTATTTAAGTTGTAATTGGCTTTGAACTAAAAAAAAACATTGACTGGGAGTACTCTAAAATTAGTACCTTGTCTTTATTCTTTTAAGTTACCAGTGGTTTTTTTTTTTAGCTTTGTGTTGGTCTGATGAGTAAAGCCTTTTTCAACTGCTTTCTACAGTTTGTTCTTATGTTGTTGTACACCACTGTCCCCGGTTAGTCTACTCTATTTTCTATTTATAATACCTGTTTCTTGTATTCCTATAACAGCTGTTATTTCTTGTTGTTGTGTTATTGGTTGACCATTCATCCCTGATACAACCTTCCCTAGGAAATGTTGAACACTTTGTGATAAGGATTCCTCAGATAAAAGAGCATCTTTCTTAATTTCAACATTTAAAACAAGATCTTTTAATGGTTCATCTTGACTTGAACTGTCTTCATCTGATGCAGACTCCCAATTTTCTGTAAATGTATGGAGTATATATTACTCTATTTTAGAAGTAAATTTAGTTTGGAAGTTTGGCTGTATCTTTAGAAACCATATTATAACCAGGATATTACAGCCTTATATTTAGAGTGTAATTTATAGAGCCCACAAATTTAGATGTAAACTCATCGATCCTATGTGCTAATTGATATTTTAGACGGGGAAGACAAGTTTTATTTATAAGTTGAAATTGGCTTTGAACTACCTTCAGTAACTGTGAATACTCTTAGATTTGTACTTTGTGTCTTTCGCCAATTTGTTAGGTTTTTTTTTGTGCATCCTGCAGTTCTGATGAGACTGTCAACGTATATTTGTTCCGCCTAACAGAAGTTCCACTGGAAACTTTGTTATAAACAATGTCATAATTTCTATTCCTGTTGGAACAAATATTCTATACCATTTATTCTGTTAGGAACATATACTGTAATATTTATTCCTGTGGAAATAGTATTCCAGAATATTTTTTCTTTTTGGAACTTATATTATGAAGGAACTTCTATTCCGTGACAAGACAAGCCAATTCAAACTGATTTTTAGTTTGTTCTTATGCTGTGCTGTTACACCACTGTGCCAGGCTTGGGGAGGGTTGAGCCCTATTTCTTTATGTGTCTGTAATTCAGTTAGTGTCGTTGTTTGCTTTCTGCTATATTTGTATTTTTTGTTTCTTGTAAGAATAAATCAGGCAGTTGGTTTTCCCATTTGAATCGTTTAACATTTTGTCATGCCAGGTTTAAGTAAAAACTGGGACCTAAATAATTAAAGGCTATGGACAACGATGATGAACATCAAGTGATTGCAATAGCTCACATGGACTTTCCTCCAGGGGGAGCTTCCTCCCACCGCAGCCCACCATACTTCACCATTTTTATAATCAAGAGTTTCCTTCTGAAAACCCTGTTAAATATTATCAGGACATGAAAGCAGTGTAAAACCCCTAAAACTGCAATTTGAATAAAAAGATATGTGTCAATCATGTCTTAATTTTGATTACTCTCTTTTAATGGCAATCAACAAATGAAGCATACCTTCAAGGATAGAGAAGAAAGCAATGCACTGTTCTGTTGAAAAGCATTGTAAATCAGCAACTTCAAATACATGCTGAATGAAACTTTCCATTTCTCTGTGCAGTAAACTATCATTCTGAAGCAAACCAATGGCAATTTCCACAAATAAAACTAAACTGCCTTCTTCAGCATACTTGAATTTAATTGACTCAGTGCTTATATCATTTCTTCGAGAATTTAGGAGATCAGCTTTTTCTTGGGCATCCTCTATACCAGTGAATGTTATTGTAGACTTCATTGATCCTGGAATTAAAATGTGTTTAAGCTATAAGTTCTTACTTTTACCCTTGCTAAATGTATTCTTAGTTTATATTGAGATATGTTCACATTTGCTCACATGGCTAAGTATTCAGGTCTTGTTTTCTCTAAACCTTGCCTTTTCAGATTACAAAATGTGTAGATTTTATGCTCTCCAAATGTGATTTACATGTATATTTAAATCCGATAAAACCATATAATGACATAAACATTTTCTGATGCAAATGTATCACAACAATTTGTCACATCACTTCTTAAATCAGAAATATGTTAGAATCAAAAAATCACTCTTTCTTATTAATATTTATACCTTCTGTTAGACCTTTAGCTTTCATGTCTTCAATAACTGTTTGAGTTGACTGGTCCATGTAAACTTTTAAAGGCAAATCAGTCTTGACTTGGGTTTCTAATAATTCTGAATGTCAAGAATATAGGAGATGCATTAAAATGTATGGTTGGTCACAGGAGAAATTTTAAATCACTTCAAAACATCTTTAAACTATCCATTCATTTCTTTAAACTGATAAAAATATGTAATATTTCAGCATTAAAATGCTGGACCTAGCACAGTCACTTTAAATAAAAATGTTGTGTGAATCCAACAAGTCTTTTTTTAAAGCAACAATTTTCAAGACATTAGATATTCACATCCTCTTATTTTCTTTGATCACAGCTGAGACATCTGGTACCACACACTTTTCATATATTTTGAATATCAAACAGATTTTTTTTTATTAATAATGTATCTGTAGTGATAAATAGGTTTGACAAATTCATGATGCATTTATGACAGTGGCTTTAATCGCAACTGTGGAAAAAATTGACATCTGATTTGTTTCAGATACTTATGATTTTTAATCAACAAGCTTGTCATATATTTCATCTTTAATAATATTAAGACCTTATCATATATCATGAAGCTGGAAACCTATTCCAGCGTCTTATCCCTACAACTCATTACAAAGTAAGGTTAAAATTCAAGGCCACATGACTCCAAAAGTGAAGCTTGTCCTTTTCTAAAACTCTCATATTTGATTTGATATATACTAAAATGTAATTCAAAACTACAGTATTCCATAGAAAACAACACAGAATGTCATTAATTGTTATAAAGTATCAACATTTTGTGTGTGCATTCCTGACAGGACACTATTTAAACCATGTACATGACCCACGAAAAATAAACCTGTCTTAGAATCACTTTTTCAGTTGACATTCTTTTCAATCACTGTATGTACATACTGAGCACATGCACAATCCATCTCCATAAAAGGTTAAATCAAAGGTCACATGAATACAGATTGAAATGAGACTGAATTATTGACATGCAAGCCAATAATCAGCCTTGTTTTGGACTTATTTTGACAAAATTTAACAAAACTGACTGCTTATACAGAAATATTATTTCAATATTCCACTTTTATAAATGTTTGAAACAAAATAAAATCATATTTTAATTGTTTGTCTAAATCATAGCAGATTGTAAATTTGGGACATTTGTGGAAGGAGGAATAAGCAGCTGTCACTGCTGTGCCAAGAGTACATGTGCATATTAATATTGTTGCAAGAACAAATAAAGTGTAATATCCTTAGGCATATAAATATTGTGTCAAATATACTGTTAAAAGTCCTATAACTCTCTGGAACAACCAGAAAAATTTCAAAAATCAAATGTGAGTCTACATTCACCAATCCCAAATACAGTTTAAAGTTCTTAGTAATTTGATCCAAGCGTACCTGAGCTAATTGCATGACAAGTAAAAAATCGCTTATTATTAATCTGATGGTTAAAGTCCCATAACTCTGGAATGAAAAACTGAAAAAAATGCAAAATCCAACAACTACATAAAGTCTCCAGTAAATCAATCCAAACATACCAGTACTCAAGCTATGGTACATACGAAAAATTTACCTAAAAGGAGCTTTCTATTATCAATTCAAACTAAAGCGAAAAATTTTGAGGAAATCAATCCAAGAATATTGTAATTAATGCACTATATATGAAAAATTAAAAGGGGGCTTTCACTTGTCAATCCTAATGTAGTGTTAAAATTTCATGAAATTGCAAATTTGAGTTATTGTTCGAAGTGTTGACAAATGGAGGGACCAACTAGGGTATACCATAATACATAACCTCTAAGACAAACGTAAGACAGGTGTATAAAAAATATATTTTAGAAGATATTTGATTTCAAATTTTTAACCATGATTACCAATTCTGAACACAAGTCTATAGAAAAATTTGCAGTCTTGGGAACATTTCAATTTTGTAATTTGCCTCTATCCATTAAATCCATGAAAGAGTATCCTACAAAGAATTATGAATCCACAGTGGATTTTTTAGAAATATTTTTTTTGTCAAGCTAAGACTTAATCATATCCTACAAACTCTTACTTTTTAAATCTTTTATCTGTTGTGTGTATTCTTCTTCCATCTTTGTGAACTTATCCTCCATTTCTTTGTCCAGAATACAATTTTGGTATTGCAGAATTTTATGTTCAAACTTTTTAGTTTGAAGATGTTGTTCTGCTCTTCGAGCTATGTCTATAAATTTTGAGAATAGATCATTGAAATAAACCTCTGGTAAAGATGGATCAGCCGTATGTGAGATATCATCTCTACATAACCTAATACGTTCCATGTTATCTCCAACTGTAGACTCATTTTGCTGGGGATTAGCTCCCCATCCTCGGGTTGGTTTGTCAGAAATCAGCAATGAAAAACTCTTATTTCTTGCTATTTTATACATAAGGCTAATGTCAAAATTTTTGAATCCTGCTGTTGGAAGGGTCTGTATAACACTCATCTCTTTTTGATTAAGACGGTCTCTGAAAGTTTTGTTTCCTAAAATGGAACGCTCTATTGAAGCTGGTTGTGTCCCAGACTGTTCCATGTACTCTCTCATTATTTGAGTAAGTACATCACCAAGTACAAGGCGACATCTTGCATATCTGGCCTGATCTGGATTAGCCATGATTACCTACATTATCAAGGCTATAAATTAACTAAAAAATACATTGAAACATTGAAACATCAATATATATCTACATTTCAGAGATTAGTGTCAGTCAGAATATTATGGAAACACTCATTAATAGTTTGATTCCAATCTTAATCAGGCTTTCAAATTTTTTTTTATACATTGAACATTATATAAAATCTGATAAGTTAACCTAAGGTATGATTTATACTAAATTGATGAAAGCAGTTAATTACATAATAACTCTTAATTTATTCAAATTTATATTTTTATGATGTTTTCTTGTAAGGTGTATCTGTTTTAGCCACTTTGTTTTATGTGTCAGGTATTAGGGATATTAGGTAAATGACACTGAGACAACAATGACAGCAGATTACATAAACATTATATAATATTTGCACATAGAAAACTTTGATACTGGCGACAGGTATTGTCTTGTTCAATTAAAGTTAACAGTTGTATTGCATTTATTTTTTGCTTTTCCATTTTTTGGTCACTGTTATCTGCACACATTTTTTAGTAATTCACTTGTGTTTATGATTTTTAAATTTTATACTGAATGTAGCCTATCAAATCTGTGTAGACATCTCATCCAAGTTAAGATTTTTCAATACTTAAACAAAAAATTAATGATATAGAAAGCAAGAGACCTCTTTTTGCACATGGTTGACGTCACAACTGAAATTGCAACGTCAGTTGTATTTTGAACAAAGCTGGATATCAAAATGGACATTTTTGTTGGTATTGCTTGCTAGAAAATAAATAAAATCAATCTTAAGTAAGTTTACATGTATCTGTTATTTTTTTTATCGTGAAACTTGATTTTCTGCAACGTTTTGGCTTCATCAAATCAAAATGGCTGCGTTTCAATTTCTTCAATTTCCTATTATAATCGAAATAATGATATCATGCTAATAATGCCTACCCATGTTAAAATGAGCATAGAGCATGGCATAAAGGAATTATTTCTTAAATATATACTGAACCAGTAAACTAAATTAGAACCCCTTTTTTATCTTGAATTTTGTACTTGATTCTTATGTGAACCAGCAATGTTTTTCTTTTTGTCTTATTTAAAAGTTCAATGATCATTCTATTTATCTGTTTTCATCAAGTACCTCTTAGATACATGACACATTCATAATAGTATGCAAAACTTGTTTGCTCTTCTTTATTTTCTCTATATATCGATTCCTTAAAGAGTGTTTGATATTTTAAAACTATTGATTCCATAAAAAAGCGTTTAATATATCCATTAATTCCTTAAAAGACGTTAAATATAAGATGCCTTTAATTTGACCAAAATTAGAAGTGCAATTGAATTCCATCAGGGACAGAAAAGGGATGTCAATTCGAAGAGAAGAGAAGGTCCATTTCAGAGAGCAAATAAGGACTTCAAACAAAACACTTTATTATGAAGTGAAATTAGTAGTGGATTTAAGAAAGAGACTAGATTTGAATCCAGACATGGATCCGAGTCCAACCTGTATATATAAATGTGAACAGGAAATTATTATTCAAACATTTCCAAAACAATGACACTTGTCTCTGAAAAAATTACATCTTTACCTTAATATAACAGTTATGTTATATAAAGGTATATAGGTGATTTTATTCAGAGTCAAGTGCCTGTGTATGGATAGTAAAATAATAAAGGGATTATATCAGAGTAGTCCGAGATTACTCTGACGTCCAACGGCTATTTTGCCAGACAAGCTGGGGCCGTGGGACGTCAGAGCTCGTCCCATATCAAAAAGTGGATATTTGCCCGTCCAAAATAGATGCGCTGCTTCGTCGCTTCTGGTGCCAACGGACGGCCTTGGAATTATATAAATCGGGTATCAATTTGTTCATTTTTCATTTATCTCTTCATTTATGTAAGTTTCACCTACCTTCCACCCTTTATTTTCTCATATTTAGACAGTTTTCACAGTGACCCATCGATTCAGACATTTTTACTTTTATTTTCAAATGTTACGAGAGATTTTGCGACCTCGAGACTCAAATATGCAAATATTTATACTTTTTTCACCTCCTTTATAGGAGATCGATATTTAACATTTAGTAGCCAACCACGATTTTTCACCTCCTTTACAGGAGATCGGTATTAAGCATTTAGTGCCAACCACGATAACATTCGGAAGCTCTCGGATATTTACATTGCTTGCATCGTAAATGAGCGAGGTGTTAGATTATATATTCATATTGACCTAGGGTCATATGCATACATAATTTCCCATAGTCCATTGTGCCTTACTTTTTTCTCGTGATCACATGACAATCTTTCAAAATGAAAGTCAAAATGCCAGAATCGGTGGGTCACTGTGAAAACTGTCTAAATATGAGAAAATAAAGGGTGGCAGGTAGGTGAAACTTACATAAATGAAGAGATAAATGAAAAATGAACAAATTGATACCCGATTTATATAATTCCAAGGCCGTCCGTTGGCACCAGAAGCGACGAAGCAGCGCATCTATTTTGGACGGGCAAATATCCACTTTTTGATATGGGACGAGCTCTGACGTCCCACGGCCCCAGCTTGTCTGGCAAAACAGCCGTTGGACGTCAGAGTAATCTCGGACTAATATCAGAGTTGATAAATTCACTCAACATTAAGTAAAACAAGCAAAATAGTGTTTATTTGTTTAATTCCTTTAACTTCCAATTTTCTTATTAGGCCGCCCCTTATGCACTCTTGAGTGCAGAAAATCAGAATCCCAAAAGAGATAAGTATGTGTCCAGCCACGCCCACACGTGTACAGCAATACTAACCTGTCAAAAGACACTAATGTATTATATGGGTTATATATGCTCATATATCGTTATATGTATGATGTCATTCTGTTTTAACCTACATTTTTTCTTTAGGTCTAAAATCTTTGTTTTCTTTTCTACATGTTTGCTGCGAATAATTAAGCTATGCAACGACATTCAAGAAAACATCAGAACACATTTTTGATTATATCCTACTTTCGCTTTGAATCGGAAGTAAGACAGACAAGTCGCCCCATACCTTTTTTCAACTCGCCCCGATCAAATATTTTTAATGAGTTTCCTTTGGAAATATTAAATATATCAGAATTTGCCCTCAAGTCTTCACTCTCTAGTAAGATAATTTAAAAAGGTTTTAAAGAACAAAACAATTTTTTTTTAGTTATTGTCCTTGGACAGAACAGATAAAATATGTGCAACGCGGGGTACATTGGTACTCTGTTTTCTTTTATTACAATGAAAGTGCGTCCATTTAATAGCTATGCCCCTTAAAAATTGAAAAAAACCTTTCACACAGTTTGGTTTTCAGACTTCTTTATTTTTTTTTCGAAGAAGTGTAAATATTTCATAAATTAAAGTAACACTCACGAAATAGTGTATACATTTCTTGAAGTTTTCAAGCTGTAAAAAAATCATTTAAAGAATAACTTATTCTTGCCTAAAAAAATATTTGAACAATCATATATTCAACAATATGATAAAAAAAAGATTTAAAACAGTTCCCAGTTAACCTCTTTATAAATGAATTAAGCTATGAACTATTGACCCATATTTCGAGGTTTAATGATCAAGTTATGAGTTTTTGTTTAATAAATTTTACCATGGAGTAGCGGTCACGGCAACTTGAAACTCAGGGAGCCTGTAAATCGGTGGTTGTAGTTTGTTGCGGTATATCACATCTCTGATCATCTGTTTTCCGTTCGTTGTATTGTACATATATCAGGCCGATGGTTTTGAATTGTTTTATTTTTTTTCATATCGGGGCCTTTTATAGCTTGCTATGCGGTATGGGTTTTGCTCATTGTTGAAGGCCGTACGTGAACTATAGATACTAACCGGACCTACGCCATTTGGTCTGTGATGGATAGTTGTCTCATTGACAACCATAACTCAAATCCTTATTTCATATCAAAATTGTAAGCCAAAGAAGGTTCTTGACCCAATTTTTGCTGCGTGCCGAAAAGTAGTGCTATGACGATGTATAGGACACTATAGATGTGTTACAGGCATTTTCTAAATTAAGACTGAATTTTCAGGCATTTTTTTTTAAATGCCCAGCCTTGACAGGCATTATATAAGATGACTAAAAATACCAAGTACTTTTGTACATTGACTGAAATTTTAAATAAAATTCAACAAATTGCCTCTTCAGATTCAGCAAGGATCACTATACAAATCCTTGGATTCATGTAATTTGTAGAAAAAGGATATCATTGAGATACATATGACCAAAAACACAATATCTTGTAAAAAGACTAATGGTTCAGCAAAATTGTTTATTCTTCAAATATCAGCAGCGAAAGTTTGTATATCCGTAATTAGTTCCTTTTAGTGAAACTATTTTAGATATGTACTCACTCTGCATGTATATCAGATAGTAGTTCCATGATCTTCTTATCATGATGGCAGGAAGACAAATTGTTCTTACAATAGAACAAAATTCACAAACGAACTTTTAGAAAATTAAGATTCAAAACAAAAGAGTGTGTTATATGTAGCAGATAAAAATAAGAATGTTTTTGATTGACTGATTGTTATTTGTTTGCGTCCAGTTGCAAATATTTTATGCATATTTTGGACGAAAACAAATCAATAATAAATCAGATAGGTAAGTTCTGTAATGGATGGACCCGGATAACGAACAGCAATTTCGATTGCCGCTTGAAATAAATATATGCTGGATAGGGACAAAAATGTTGCCTTCCAACAGAGCACCCGCAGAACGGTAAAAAGAGTTTTTAACATGCAGAGAGCATGACACTCTCTTAACACGATCAGGCATAAAATTTAATATCCCCATTCAGAAGTTGTGCATCCGCCACAGCCAAACGGATTCCCCTCATCAGCATGGGTTTCACCATACAAGGCTTTGTTTGGTTGTGATGCAAAGTTATGGGTATCTTTATCTTCACTGCCTCAAGTTAACAGTCTGATGAATTAAGGAGACATTGGTCTCAAGAAAAGACAAATCAAGGTAACACAGAAAATCTTAGGAAATCGTATGAAATTCATAAAAAGATAGACCGGGTGCCTCGACAGGATTAGCGTCTCTTGCAATTGTAACTGATACATATTCTTCCGCAGTGAGAAAATGAATTTTTTATCGGTATATTACTCCATATTATCAGAGACATATAATACATATATACCTATATATAATTGATAAATATTATATGTCTCCAATATCATCAACTTACAATTTTCATTTTTAGATACTTATGAGTAGACAACCTTTACTATTAAGTTCTTCAACTAGAACATAATGTCTTATCTTGTATATAGAAATGGAATTCGCTGATCGTTTTAAACTTTCTACTTGTGAATAAAGGTTGTAAAAGTTTACCAATTGTGTCGTGATGGCCATTTTATTGAATTATATCACCTTACTTCCTTACGGAGACTTTCAATAGATTTGATATTTGTTTTGTCGGCCAACTAAACGCCAACAATTCATATCAATGATTGAGCTGTATAACCACACAAAATACATGCAACAGAAACTCACCTAGACAAACAATTATCTAGTTCAGAGATTCTTGATCCAGAATTTTACGACATATATCGCAAGGACAGAACATTCCAACCTGGCCATGAGGTCGGTGCCGTGTCAAATGCCGTAAGAAAAGACCTTGTATCTTCAGGAGAAGTGACTTTGCACACTGATTGTGAGATATCATGGAACAAAATACAAGTTCAGGGAAGTAAACCCCTATACACCAGATGTCTCTATAGACAACCAAACAATGAAGCTGTCTCACTACAAAAACTGGACAAATCACTTGGAAGACTCACTCACAACTAAAACCTGCCCAATATAGTGCTTACAGGAGATTCCAACGTCCCTGATATTCAGTGGAAAGATGCATATTCAATCCGATCACCACAACAGTACATCCTAGAGGTAAATGAGACCATTCTTAATATCACAAACGAACATAATCTTGAACAACAAAATAGTACACAAACCAGAGGAATCAACATACTTGACTTAGTTTTCACAACCAACAAAAATATCATAGAGAATATCACTGTAGGGAGCGGAATATGGCTTAAAGCGACCACGAGGCAGTAATTGTGGACATCAAAACTAGAGTTAAACTTACAAAAAAGAAGCCACGCAAAACATTATTGTACTCCAAAGGAAATATACCATGTATAAAGACCAGACTGAAGGACGAATTCCCTGAATATATAGACACGACGAATTATAAAACTATTGAAACTTGTTGGGAAATATTTAAAACCCTTCTTACATCACTTATGGACGAACATATACCACAGAAAACATGCACCAATAGATCGAACATCCCCTGAATGACGAGAGATATCAAGAGAGCTATGCGCAGGAAACAACGACTATATAACAGAGATAAAAAGACCAAAAAGATAATAAGACTGGGTAAAATTCAAAGATATTAGAAGAACCATAAAAAGCCAACTAGAACTTGAACATAAAAACTGTTTGTCCAACTTATTAGAAATTAAAGATGAAATCAATACTGAGTCGCCTAAGCAAGGAATCAATAAACAATTCTGGAGATATATAAAGTCAAGAAAACAGGAGAGTAGTGGTGTATCGAAGACAATCCATCCAAAGCAGAAGCACTAAACAACCAATTCCAGTCTGTTTTACAGAGGAAGACATGGCTTCTTTTTCAAACATGGGACCAAGTACCATCAATAAGATTGACGACATACAAATTGAAGAAAAGGGAATAGCAAAGCTACTAAAACAGCTAAGTATCAATAAAGCTAGTGGTTCAGAAAAAATATCCTGCAGAATATTAAAGGAAACAGCAGATGAAATGTCACCTTATCTAAAATACATATTTGAAAGATCGTTATACCTAAAACAAGTCCCGCACGATTGGACAACTGCAAATGTAATAGCACTAATCAAGAAAGGAGATAGATCGAAACCAGCAATTTATAGACCGGTATCGCTTACATCAGTACCGTGTAAAGTAATGGAGCACATACTCTTTAAACACATCATGGAACACCTGGAATATCCTTGCAGACTACCAACACGGCTTTCGACAAAAGAGACCATGCGAAACACAGCTTATAATTACAGTTGAAGAAATAAACAGATATTTAGATAACAAGCAACAAACGGACTTATTAATACTTGACTTCAGCAAAGCTTTTGACACCGTACCCCATAAAAGACTTCTCCATAAACTAGACCACTATGGAGTCAGAGGAAGCATACACCACACCTCCAAAAACACATACAACAACTGGAAATGGTCCAAAGGAAAGCAGCAAGATTTATCAGGCATGAATATTCTCGCATCCAGGCATAGTAACATCTTTGTTAGCGGACCAAAAACTACCACAATTACAGGAGAGACGAAAAACATCACGTCTACTCCTTTTTTACAAAGTAATCCACCGACTAATTGCAATCCCACTTCCAGAATACTTGATGACACCAGCAAGATTGACGCGTCAGTTCCATCAAAGACGATTTGTCAGATTAGGATCAAGTTCTGAACAACGAAAACATAGCTTCTTCGTAAGAACCATTTCAATCTGGAATGAACTACCGCCTAGACTATTGGACATTGATGACTATGAGGCATTCAAGACCCACCTCATAACAAACAGATATCCGTAAATCCGTGTGATGCGTCAACCGAATCTTTACGGTTTATCCATGTATATGTAGATATATGACTTACTGGTAATTTAAGTATCATTAGATGCAAGCCTTACGCATTGTCATCATAGTGATGGAATAAAACAATCTGTACAAGTATATGCCACATGTTACTGTGTGAAAGAGTAAACTAAATTAATCTTTTGGCAGGACAAGCATCATTGTTATAAAATCTCAATGTAATAGAACATACTTTCTACATGCACATCTTATTATAAAGATCCAACACTATAGCAAATTTATGCACATGCAATTTACAATGCAAGAGATCTTGCGATGACCATGATAGGCCTTGAAACAAATAAATAGGAGTTA